ATTTGCGCCCACACTCACTTGTTTTTCTTTCTTTCTTTTACGGTTTCATCTTGAAATTCCTACCCCTTTCAACTGGACCTTTTTCCGGTGGTTCTTCTAAAGTCCCAATCGAGGCTAGCACGCGCAGGCTCGCGCCGATACAATGGTCGTGGGTTTCGGCTAAACAGGGGGGAAGGTAAAAAAAAAAAAACACCGACAAAAGACTTGTCGGGCTAACAGCTCCATGTTACAAAGCAGCGGACAGGCGAGTACCCCATCACATGTCGCAAACAAAAAAAGACAAGATCACTCTTAAAGTGGACGTAGAGGAGGGTCAGTGTGGGGGAATGGCTGGAACGGCCAGGCGATGCTCCAGCTGCCCGCCTAGGAATATTATTCATACAATCTATTTAGGTGCGTACGTTAGGCGAGAGGGGTAAAAATGATTGGGTGCCCGGGGGTTGGGTGATGGGGTGCCCGGGGGCTGGATGGGGCTAATGGAATACGACATCCAGCAGGGACAGATGGTAATAACTGGACTCTTCACAATGCGAGCCATCCTTTCAGGGAGAGAAGATTAATAAAACTGCGAGTGACCTCCCCTTGTCAGGGTGTAATTTCCACCTTTTGTGGTGGCCTCACCTTAGGTTACCCTGCCGTCCACACGGGCTGGTCTGTTTGGACGGCCTGCACGTGCCCGATACAATGAGACTCCCGCCCCGGCCTCCACCCAGCGTCCAGCACGCGCCTAGGTGTAGCGCCAGGTCAACAAGAAGGTGCCCCCCTTCCCCGCACCCCTCCCCCCATTTGGTGGAGGTGGTCGTATTACGAGCACCTACGGAATGTCCACTCGATCAATAACATTTCGGCGCTGACAGATGGTTGCCTCCAAATAGAGGCGCTGTTCGGGATCTAGCAGCCTTGATATTTGCTTGGAACTATCAACTAGCCTATCAAGTAGCTTATCAATTGGTATATCACCTGATACCATCTAACCTAGCTACTTAATTATCGATTGCCATCATCTAGCTTATTAACTAATTTATCAACTAACATCGTCTAGTTTATCAACTAATGTATTAACTGATTCATCAACTGATTATCAACTCATGTATCAACGAAAGTATCAATTCATCTATCATCTTTGTATCGACTAAAGTATCAGTACATTTCTGATGTCTAATGAAATTTCCGGGGAGCGGACACTGGTTAATATATATTTTCATTTAAATTATGTTTCTATTTCAACGTCACCCCACACCCTCCTAATTATCAACTGTCTACAACACTGGTCTTCTAATATATCAACAGTCAATTAACCCGTGTATCAACTCTCTACAACACCGGTCTTCTAATATATCAACAGTCAATTAACCCGTGTATCAACTCTCTCTATAACACCCCATCTCCTCTAATTAACAGCTTGAGCATGTTAACCCCCAACCTCTAAGTAGTATCCTATGTTTATAAATCTAACCAGATCGTCTTTGATTCGCTGTACATCTTACCCCCCCCCCCCCCTCTCCCCCTACTCCATTATTTCACGTGAAGCCACCCAGTCGGGTGTTTGACCGGGTCGCATTGTGCCGTGTGTGTGTGTGTGTGTGTGTGTGTGTACCGTGTGTGTGTGGGGGGGGGGGGGGGTGAAAGCGACAGTGCCGCGGGGGTCTAGGTGGGACATTAGCACGTTTTCTGGTCTCGTGTTACACGCAGGTCTCAGTTGAATGATCGCAGGTTAGCCCCCCCCCCTTCTCTACTCACCCTCTCAGCTCTGTCCAGTAGCCCACTCTATGACAAAGACCTGACCACCGACGGCTAGTCATTGGTTAGCATTAACGTGTCCGTTTCATTTTACTGACATTTTCCTTTTGTTAAACCAAAAGATGTGTCACTTATCTTTAACTCTTGTGTCCTTGTTTTCCATCGCTAACCAGCGTGACGTTAGAAAACTACGGTTTGTAACAGTGAACACTCAGTACAGTCAAGTATTCAATCTTTTCTATCCTTTGGTTTAAGGAAAACTCATCAGTAACGTGGGCATGTGGATGTATTTTATATTCGCCATAAAAATCAGTCAATCCATTTAACGGTTTTATATTTTTTTAAAAATTAGTGTAGGTAAAGCATTCATACCCCCCCCCCAAATAAAAAAAAAGCCCAACAAAAAAGCCCAATGTATCCGTGTATTTAAAAACCTGCTGTTTTCCGACTGCTGATCGCAGCTGGGTCACCTGTTGTGACGGTAGCTTCCCCTGAACATGACGACACACGCCAGCGCGTGAACCAACCTGTTTACCGTCAGATAAAGCCGAGACCCAGTTTTTTTTTTTTTTTAACATGCCGTTTTTATGGCAGGTTATTTTTTCTTGTAACATCGTAACGTGGGCGACGTAAAAAAAATACTTCACACTCCGTGGCGACACTTTGATTAGTTTAGTTACTGCACTCGGCTTCCGTGTCTGGGGAAGCGAGGATTACATCTTATAGGGAACATTAACCCAATCGAGACCAAGGCGAGGATCCAGACATGCCGGGGGGAGATCGGCTCTAAATATAGGTCATTGTTAACGGGACTTCTGAATAGACTTGTTCTAGAGCATTGTTTGGGGGGAAGGGAGGAAGGGGAATTTTGTTTCTCTGTTTACGTGTCAAGGTCATCAGTTGATGGATACGTAATGAAAATGTTGTGTTTACATGTGGTGACATGTACACATACAGTTTATCAGATCATATGTACATGTCAGTTTGTGTACACGCAAAATGACCTTATGCACACGTGGCGACATGGACACGTTAGGTCAGTATGTACATGTGGCGACATGGACACATTAGGACAGTGTACATGTGGCGACATGGACACGTTAGGTCAGTATGTACATGTGGCGACATGGACACGTTAGGTCAGTGTGTACATGTGGCGACATGGACACGTTAGGTCAGTGTGTACATGTGGCGACATGGACACATTAGGACAGTGTGTACATTGTGCGACATGGATACATTAGGACAGTGTGTACATGTGGCGACATGGACACATTAGGATAGTGTGTACATGTGGCGACATGGACACATTAGGGCCGTGTGTACAAACGATGACCTGTGTAAGATGCAGCAATGATGAAAGTGTTAACGCCGCTAGAGACGACAGTCTTATTGTACAGGCTGTACCGCTCGGCAACTTTTCCTCGTGTATTGTAAGGATGGCCTACCAACAAACCTTATGGCTACTGGCGTCTTGTAAAGATGGCTATACAATGGATGCCGCTTCAAGCGTCATGTCTGACTGCTTATGTGGGGAGACTTTCCCTTGTGACTGTAGCCTACACATTCCATCAGCATTACATGTGAATGGTTTGATAGGCTGGAGACTTGCCACACTCAAGGCTTAGTCTGTAAACCACTCTACGTCATTAGATTTTAACGTGTTGGATTTTATTCCTGTGCTAAAAGTTGTATGACTTCAACATAATTATAAACCGTTTTAAATTTCAGGGGAGAATAATCGAGTTGATTTAAATGAACTATTTGTAGTGTGGGATAAAGTTACTAAATTGGACACTGGTTGTGTGGGTTTTTATTAAAATAGACCCTAGGGATGTAGAGTTGACACAAGAACTGCCTACAGACGCGTTATCGTGGATCCCACACACTTTCTATTTATAATGATGATACAAAACACGGATATACCCCCCCCCCCTCCCCCACACCTATCCTGTTGTAAAATCTTTGTTTGCTGAACGCCCGCCCACAAGTTCTAAGTTTACTTGTATAAAATGAAAAAAATAAAATTCCATAGTGCCGTTTTCCCGTCAAATGTACACAGTAAAACTCTGCCGTCATCAAGACAGCTCTAGTAGCAACTGGCCAACATCAACAGTGGAAGGTGTGTGAAACATGGGCTCTATTCAATGTACTTTGTCCGCTGCTATGGTAAATAGGCTACACAGAAACTACTACCAGCTTTATAGACTACATTCATACTGTTTTAGCAAATATTGCCAGTACATTCACGCGGTTATGTAAAATGACATTGATGTAGTAAGTTTTATACCGCCAGAATAGCTTTGTTTTTTTAGAAAACGTACACACTCTTGTATGAAATACTGCTGCAATAGCTACGTCTTGTCTAATGGAGCGAAGTAAATCTATACCAGATAAGTTTAAAATTTGAAATGTACATGTAACATCAAGTGGGATATGTGATGTCATTTGTTGACTGTTTGTTCTTGTTTAAAAATAGGTCAGCCTTTCTACTTCTGCTATTCAATTGCTCACTGCTATTTATAGATGGCGTCGTGGTATAATTTATAGCAATCAGCAAACGAATACGTAAGCCCCGACACATCGTTTCGTTTTACTAGCCCCCCCCCCCCTTCTTTACAAGATGTCGCACAGTACTAGACATCCCATCCGTCACATCCACGACACCCGCCCTCCACCACGACACCCGCCCTCCACCACGACACACACACATTCACTGATGTAACATTAATTTAAAGGGGACTGGATCATATCTTTATAATGTGGGTAGTGGTGTAGTTTGTAGTTTGTGTGGTTGTTTTAACGTGTTGTTAGTGTGTATTGTGTGACTGCTTTTACGTGTGGTTAGTGTGTGCATTGTGTTGCTGTTTTTACGTGTGGTCAGTGTGTGTGTGTTGTGTGGCTGTTTTTACACCCCAAGTGGTCAGTAACGCCCCAGCCACCATTAAAGCCCCAATCACCACACGAGTTTTAAAAAAAAAAATATCTGTGGGCAATGAGCAAAAGTGTGTGCCAAGGGACACAACTCTGTAAATGTTAAAAATCTCAACTCAGGTACTGAAGTTATTCCCCTTTTGCCGTGTATTAATTACTAAAGAATCATAAGTAATTAATACATGGCAAAAGTAATTATGAGTGAAAAGTTAAATTATTAGAGCATATTTTTATGTGTAAAGACGTAGCCAAGTTTTATGCAATTTTGTAAACCTAATAGCAGTTTTTCTTTTAAGCTAATAAAAATTATTTATTTCCATTTTCAGAGCCCCATTCTGGTTTCCGTATAGCTTTTAATATGTTTGACACAGATGGCAACCAAATAGTGGACAAACAGGAGTTTTTAGTGGTATGTATCACTGTATAACAGGCACCGTGTCTGGTTTGTATTGGTGTATGGGTGTCCACACTGCAGATTTGTATTTGTCTCATTATTTGTATTTGTTCAATATTTGTTAGCTATGTCATGGTTTATTACACTGTTATATCTTTTCAGTTGTATTTTAAAAAAAATTTTTTTTCTTCATCCAAATTTTGGGTTTGCAATTTGAGGTTCATTGGAGCTGAAGGTGATGACCAACTTTCCCACAGGAGTTACCTGCCCTTTAACTTACTGCATATTTTTGTGTGCCGCCCCCCCCCCCCCCCCCCCCCCCCCCCCCCTGGCTGCAGACAACAGACAAAACCCACATTTCTGTGCCTGTTTGTCCCCTGCCTAATATTAATAAAACTGTTGCTCAGTGGTTCCCAGTCTTGGAGTGGTGAGCTGGGTTGGTAGGGTGCTACACATGTGTTGTAGGTCTAGCTCACACTTAGACCAGGAGCCATCTCTAACATTTGGGAACCACTGGCTAATATGTGACTGTTCTCTGTTTACTAAATCTGCAATTTCCTGTTCCAACCCACCCAGGGACAAACTGCTCTCAGGGTAGTTTCCTCTGCTAGCCAGAGTTTTATTGTTTTAAGGTTTTGATGTTGATCTGTGCTATTAGACATGTGTAATTTAGATGTTTCAACATGTTAGAAGGGCCACAATCATACATGTCTCTGTGTCAGAGTTCTCCTGATTAAGATTATGAATAAGATTAATACTGGTTATAATGATAAGGGAATGGGTTATAAAAATGATGGATTAAGATTGCAATGATGATGATTTTTTGGAGAATATTGATAAAGGTTACTGTTAAAAAATAACGAGTTAGGCCTCTAATGATGATTTCTTTCTTTTGTTAGGTCATGTTGGTAGGTAGTATTTCATTCTTTACATTTTATGCTCACACCAAAACATAAATTTAAAAAAACTTAGATAAAAAATATTGTTGAAGAAATTTATGAATGATTTAGAATTAATGCAATGATGCGTTACAGCAAAATGTAAATAGACTTACTTTAATAAGAAAAAATTAAAATGCCTTAAAAATGTACAAGTTGACCAAATACGTTGCTAAAAAAGCTTACAAGTGCTGGTCATTGTGATGACCCTAATTAGCACTGCTTTTTACAAGAAAACATTTAACAAATCAGTTGAATTTTTAAATGTTATAACAAAATTTGTTCCATAGAATCCAAACATAATGAATATGTATATTTTTCTGTATATCCAGTGTGTTTGCCTGATTAAATTATCTCGCTATACAGAGTGATACACTTGTATTGAACTGCAATAGAGTGGACTAGAGTCTAATTGCTTTGAGCTAACAAAGCTTTATACAGAAGATAATGAAATATCTAAACAATTGTAACACCAATGTACACAGAGCATTGTTTGAGCTTACCTTAACTTAAAGCAACTATTTCAAGCTGATTTCACTGGATAAAAAACTGGTTTCTACAACTGCTTTCAGTAATCAATATGAACATTTAAGCCTATACACACTAGCTTTAATGTGTCATACATTAGAGAAAGTGTTCATGTGTCAGATTTTATAGAAAGGGGTCGTCATGAGTGAAATATCTGAGAGAAAATGGGTCATGTTGCATATTTGGGAGAAAGAAGTCGTATGTCACGTTTGAGAGAAAGGGATCAGATGTTTTAGTTGGGAGAAAGGGGTCTTTTGTTCTCTTTGAGAGGATGGAGTCATATGTCATATGTCGTCATATTTGAGAGATGACTTTTGTGTCACAGGGAGTTACTGACAATGTGCTAATGTAATTAGCACTGACTTTATGACATACATGTTAGCTACTAGTGATTAGATATGCAAGGTTGTGATGCTTGTGAATGGGGCTGTGTGATAAGTTTATCTAAGAGATTGACTGATCTCATCTTGCCTATCCTGGAGTACTCGGTCATCATTCATGTCAAGGTTAGTTAGCATGGCTGCTGGATGTTGTTGCACTTGCTCACCTTCAGACAGGGGGCTTGAGTATTGTCTTCAACTGTCACACACACCTTCTACAGTCATACAATCTGTCACACACCTTCTACAGTCATACAATCTGTCAGACACCTTCTACAGTCATACAATCTGTCACACACCTTCTACAGTCATACAATCTTTCACACACCTAGTCATACAATCTGTCAGACACCTTCTACAGTCATACAATCTGTCTCACACCTTCTACAGTCATACAATCTGTCACACACCTTCTACAGTCATACAATCTGTCACACACCTTCTACAGTCATACAATCTGTCACACACCTTCTACAGTCATATAATCTGTCAGACACCTTCTACAGTCATACAATCTGTCACACACCTTCTACAGTCATACAATCTGTCACACACCTTCTACAGTCATACAATCTGTCACACACCTTCTACAGTCATACAATCTGTCACACACCTTCTACAGTCATACAATCTGTTACACACCTACAGTCATACAATCTGTCATACACCTTCTACAGTCATACAATCTGTCACACACCTTCTACAGTCATACAATCTGTCACACACCTTCTACAGTCATACAATCTGTCACACACCTTCTACAGTCATACAATCTGTCACACACCTTCTACAGTCATACAATCTGTCACACACCTTCTACAGTCATACAATCTGTCACACACCTTCTACAGTCATACAATCTGTCACACACCTTCTACAGTCATACAATCTGTCATACACCTACAGTCATACAATCTGTTACACACCTTCTACATTCATACAATCTGTCACACATCTTCTACAGTCATACAATCTGTCACACACCTTCTACAGTCATACAATCTGTCACACATCTTCTACAGTCATACAATCTGTCACACACCTTCTACAGTCATACAATCTGTCACACACCTTCTACAGTCATACAATCTGTCACACACCTTCTACAGTCATACAATCTGTCACACATCTTCTACTATCATACAATCTGTCACACACCTTCTACAGTCATACAATCTGTCACACACCTTCTACAGTCATACAATCTGTCACACACCTTCTACAGTCATACAATCTGTCACACACCTACAGTCATACAATCTGTCACACACCTTCTACAGTCATACAATCTGTCACACACCTTCTACAGTCATACAATCTGTCACACACCTTCTACAGTCATACAATCTGTCACACATCTTCTACAGTCATACAATCTGTCACACACCTTCTACAGTCATACAATCTGTCACACACCTTCTACAGTCATACAATCTGTCACACACCTACAGTCATACAATCTGTCACACACCTTCTACAGTCATACAATCTGTTGCCCACCTTCTACAGTCATACAATCTGTCATACACCCCCATCTGTCATACACCCCCATCTGTCATACACCCCCATCTATCATACACCCCCATCTGTCATACACCCCCATCTGTCATACACCCCCATCTGTCATACACCCCCATCTGTCATACACCCCCATCTGTCATACACCCCTATCTGTCATACACCCCCATCTGTCATACACCCCCATCTGTCATACACCCCATCTGTCATACACCCCCATCTGTCATACACCCCTATCTGTCATACACCCCCATCTGTCATACACCCCCATCTGTCATACACCCCCATCTGTCATACACCCCCATCTGTCATACACCCCCATCTGTCATACACCCCCATCTGTCATACACCACCATCTGTCATACACCCCCATCTGCCATACACCCCCATCTGTCATACACCCCCATCTGTCATACACCCCCATCTCTCATACACCCCCATCTGTCATACACCCCCATCTCTCATACACCCCCATCTGTCATACACCCCCATCTGTCATACACCCCATCTGTCATACACCCCCATCTGTCATACACCCCCATCTGTCATACACCCCCATCTGTCATACACCCCCATCTCTCATACACCCCCATCTGTCATACACCCCCATCTGTCACATACCCCCATCTGTCACATACCCCCATCTGTCATACACCCCATCTGTCATACACCCCCATCTGTCATACACCCCATCTGTCATACACCCCCATCTGTCATACACCCCCATCTGCCATACACCCCCATCTGTCATACAACCCCATCTGTCATACACCCCCATCTGTCATACACCCCCATCTCTCATACACCCCCATCTGTCATACACCCCCATCTGTCATACACCCCCATCTGTCATACACCCCCATCTGTCATACACCCCCATCTGTCACATACCCCCATCTGTCACATACCCCCATCTGTCATACACCCCCATCTGTCATACACTCCATCTGTCATACACCCCATCTGTCATACACCCCCATCTGTCATACACCCCCATCTGTCATACACCCCCATCTGTCATACACCCCCATCTGTCATACACCCCCATCTGTCACAAACCCCCATCTGTCATACACCCCATCTGTCATACACCCCCATCTGTCATACACCCCCATCTGTCATACACCCCCATCTGTCATACACCCCCATCTGTCATACACCCCCATCTGTCACATACCCCCATCTGTCATACACCCCCATCTGTCATACACCCCCATCTGTCATACACTCCATCTGTCATACACCCCATCTGTCATACACCCCCATCTGTCATACACCCCCATCTGTCATGCACCCCCATCTGTCATACACCCCCATCTGTCATACACCCCCATCTGTCACATACCCCCATCTGTCACATACCCCCATCTGTCACATACCCCCATCTGTCACATACCCCCATCTGTCATACACCCCATCTGTCATACACCCCCATCTGTCATACACCCCATCTGTCATACACCCCCATCTGTCATACACCCCCATCTGTCATACACCCCCATCTGTCATACACCCCCATCTGTCATACACCCCCATCTGTCATACACCCCCATCTGTCATACACCCCCATCTGTCATACACCCCCATTTGTCATACACCCCCATCTGTCATACACCCCCATTTGTCATACAACCCCATCTGTCATACACCCCCATCTGTCACATACCCCCATCTGACCATCTCAACATCTCAATAGCCTAGGCTTGCCAAACAGTTATGCTAGATATAATCTAAACATATTGCTATCAAACTTGATCATGTCAAACATCCTTACAATTTATTACCATGATTCATCATTATTCTAACAAGCAACCTGTCAATACAGCACATGATCATCTATTTTTAAACTTCTGTAAAAATCAGATTAATATTTCATTGGATTTCAAATTTTTTTCTTATATTTTTTCTTAGTCTTTTTAGATTTTTTTAATTGACATGTAAATATTTTTAAAAACTTTCACATTTTTCACTGAATTGTTCAATAGATTAGCTACCACTGCTGTGTTGCTTATCAATAGGATTAATCTCCTTTTATTGTATAATCTTTGCTTCTAATTATCTGTATCAGTGGATGTGAACCTGTATGTAGATTAGACAAGATTGATTACATACTACATTGACGTAAGCTTCATTAACTCAAGCACTTGTTATATCCAACTTAGGTTTTTGTTCTTTTTTTTCCTTTTATGATTTTTTTCCTTTCAGTTGGAGAGTTTCTTCATTCTTCCACCCAAAGAAAGGAAGTTTGTTCCTCGGGACCCTAAAAAGTTACAGAAATTGTTAAATGTACGACTAAGTTTTAACTGCAAGCCAGCACGCAGCATTGCACGCTCTTAAGTTTCCAACATCTTTTACTCTTGATTCATCAAGCCCAATTAGCTGCTCCATTCCATTCATTTCCTTTCCATGGTAGTCAAGTACAGAGAACCCTGCAAGTTTTAGCCATAGGTTTTTATGTTCATTATCCACTGTTTATTCAAGAATTTATTTTTTAAAAGTTCTAGAATACTAATAAACACTTGAAATATTTTAATTATTTTGCGCTAAACTATTTGAAGTAGTTGCGACATTGTTATTTTAAATAACTGTTAAATATAATTATTGTTTAATTACATTTTAATTAACTATTTAGATAATTTTACAGTTTGTTTAATAACAAAATAAAAATGTAGACATTTTAAAAAATTCTAATATTCAAAAAATTTCTCTTAACTACAATTTAAGTATTTACAAAAACTGAAACCAATTAATGAACTTTGTTGTTGTAGAAATTTTATTTAAATTAAAGTAAATAGAATAAAGAATTTAATTTAACCTTTTTTTTAAATGAACTCACTTTAAAAATATTAAAGCTGTAATTGTAAATGACATCAGTTAACAAGTTAAAAGCTAGTAATATCAAATTTATTCAATTTAAATACAACAGATATGGCGCTAATGTTTAAGGTATCATTTAGTTTATTAAAATATAATTCACAGTTCAGCTCAGAATTCAGTTAGATTTAATAGACTTTGTTACCACTTCTAATTTACTTGTAAAACAGTTTATTTTAAAAATAATTGAAATTACACAAAAAATAATAATTATAAAGTTTAAAAAGTATCACAAGTGGACTGAATAGAAATGGTAATACATTGATTCCATCTAGGTGTATTCATTTATCCGCCTATCCTCGCTACACTTGTCATGATTCATCCTTCTTTATTAATGCTTTTGCTTTCAGCTTCTAGAAAAAGTAATACATTATTTGCTCTTTCAGTTTATACCAGCCATTAAAGCAACTAAGAAATTCCTTAAGCTCTTTTAATACAACTTAGACTGGAACTAACATGTTGTACATTGTATATTTTATATCTAATGATCAGTTATAGTTGTACGCTCAATATTAAAACCTCATATATGATTGTATGCTCAGTATTAAAACCTCATATAATATTGTATGCTAATCCTAAAACTTGATTTATTTGTACGCAGAATATTAGGCTATCAAACTTCATCTACAGCATTGTTTTTAATCCTAACACAATGAAGATTTTTGTACAGCAACAACTTAAGTGTCATAACCTGTGTCATTAACATGCAAAACAAGCCATTTTAACTTAGTCAACTACACACAAAATGTGTCAATACTTTAGTCATAGCTTTACAGATGGGAGATAACTCCAGTTGTCTTTCTTGACTTGTAGGAGGTAACTCTAGCTCCCACTGGTGAAACTGCTGGTAGTTGTGTGCTGTGTAGAGAGTAGTGTAGGCTGGTTGGGTGCTTGTGTTGTGTCACGTGTTCACTGCGTTCTTTATCATTGTAGTTTCAAACAGAATTTTGGGTTTTGGATACTTGTGACTTAGGTAGGTGGTTCAAACTGCATGCTAAAAACTTGCCAACCCCTGTTGCATGCCTAACCGCAACTTAAATCTGTTCTAGCTTCTGCCTTCAACTTAAAACCACTGGATGGCTGTCTAGCTTCTGCCCTCCAGCTAGTACCACTGATAGAAATGCTGGATGGCTGTCTAGCTTCTGCCCTCCAGCTAGTACCACTGATAGAAATGCTGGATGGCTGTCTAGCTTCTGCCCTCCAGCTAGTACCAATGATAGAAATGCTGGATGGCTGTCTAGCTTCTGCCCTCCAGCTAGTACCACTGATAGAAATGCTGGATGGCTGTCTAGCTTCTGCCCTCCAGCTAGTACCACTGATAGAAATGCTGGATGGCTGTCTAGCTTCTGCCCTCCAGCTAGTACCACTGATAGAAATGCTGGATGGCTGTCTAGCTTCTGCCCTCCAGCTAGTACCACTGATAGAAATGCTGGATGGCTGTCTAGCTTCTGCCCTCCAGCTAGTACCACTGATAGAAATGCTGGATGGCTGTCTAGCTTCTAGAAAGACTGTGATTTACTAGCAACTAGTTGCATGACCAGTTGTTCTGCTTGTTTTCACACATCACATATTTCACTTGATATTTGAAAATTAATGAGTGATAAAATTAAAACTATTTCAAAGCCATACCCTGCCACCCAAAGTGCAGGTTAAGATGTTCAACTGCCCACCTGCTGTGGTCAGTTGTCTTCTTTAGGCTACATGTATCTTCTTATCACTTGACTTTGTATCTCATTATGTTCAACTAATTGCTAAAAGGTTGGAAGAATTCTTTTAAAATTTAGATTAATTAAATTTTTAAACATGTTTGAATGATTGTTTTAAAATGTAGATTAATTAGTATACAAAAATTAGCAACATTTTAATAATACATATTCTACCATGATAAAAAGTAGTTTAATACAGCTGATTAAACAGCAGTAATTTAATACATGTATTACAAAGTTATTAAACATATGTATCTTATAAAACTACTAAGGCCATTTCATTGTTTAAATGTTTTTAGTTTGCTAATGGACAGTGAAGTGTTTCTCTTAGATAAATATCATTACAGTTATGTGCTGTCTTACAGTAAACACTATATGTAAACATTCAAGATGAAAATGTGTATTTGTATAATTAAGATGCTCATTAACTTTTTATTTCACCTTAATCTCTCAATGTCTAATTAAAAATGGCTTATTAAAATGGATTCCTCTGTGCCAATAATCTAGTTGCTTCCCCTTACCAAGTCTAAAATGTTGGCCTCAATAACCTTGTTGCTTTCCCTTTAGCAACTCAGTGTTGTTGGCCTCTAACCCTCCTTGGGAAGTTGATTCATATATTTGTGTATCAATGTTTGCTGAACAATCTATGACACCCCCCCCCCCCCCTCCCCACCCTTATGTTCATCCTGGCCACTAAATAACCTTGTGTTTACTACAGCTTGAGAAGGTCTTCAGCTCCGGCTCTTCTAAAGGGGAAGACAAAGATGAGGAAGAGGGGCAAGACAAGCATACCAGTAATATGCAGGTAAAATATTCTTTTCCTGCCTGAAATATGCAGGTATTAGACTGTATTATATTAGGAAAGTATTCTCAGTTTGAAATATGCAGGTAAAATATGCTTTTCCTGTCTGTACTAATATTTAATAATAAATGATTGACTTAATTGAATAAATTGTGTTGTCATAAAAACAATATTTGTTTGAGAGATCTGAGTGCAGATTTTTAAAGTTTGCTTTGTTGTCATGTGGATACATGTCTATGAGCAAAAACATGACTAGATCCAACCAGATTTTTTATTTGGCTACAAAACTGACCAAACATGACCAATCATTGTCTCTGACACCAGGAAGAAAATTATTGACTTTAGTTGTGAGTGACCAAACTTGACCCTTCTATTTTATATCTGACCCCAAGAAGAAAATTATTGACTTTAGTTGTGAGTGACCAAACTTGACCCTTCTATTTTATATCTGACCCCAAGAAGAAAATTATTGACTTTAGTTGTGAGTGACCGAACTTGACCCATCTATTTTATTTCTGACCCCAGGAAGAAAATTATTGACTTTAGTTGTGAGTGACCGAACTTGACCCATCTATTTTATTTCTGACCCCAGGAAGAAAATTATTGACTTTAGTTGTGAGTGACCAAACTTGACCCTTCTATTTTATATCTGACCCCAAGAAGAAAATTATTGACTTTAGTTGTGAGTGACCAAACTTGACCCTTCTATTTTATATCTGACCCCAAGAAGAAAATTATTGACTTTAGTTGTGAGTGACCGAACTTGACCCATCTATTTTATTTCTGACCCCAGGAAGAAAATTATTGACTTTAGTTGTGAGCGACCGAACTTGACCCATCTATTTTATTTCTGACCCCAGGAAGAAAATTATTGACTTTAGTTGTGAGTGACCAAACTTGACCCTTCTATTTTATATCTGACCCCAAGAAGAAAATTATTGACTTTAGTTGTGAGTGACCGAACTTGACCCATCTATTTTATTTCTGACCCCAGGAAGAAAATTATTGACTTTAGTTGTGAGCGACCAAACTTGACCCATCTATTTTATTTCTGACCCCAAGAAGAAAATTATTGACTTTAGTTGTGAGTGACCAAACTTGACCCATCTATTTTATTTCTGACCCCAAGAAGAAAATTATTGACTTTAGTTGTGAGTGACCGAACTTGACCCATCTATTTTATTGCTGACCCCAGGAAGAAAATTATTGACTTTAGTTGTGAGTGACCAAACTTGACCCATCTATTTTATTTCTGACCCCAGGAATTAAAAGCCTTGCTCCAGAAGGTATTGTATTGTCCTTTCTTTCAGCCACAGGTAGCCGCAGTTGGTTACACTGGTTTTTTGTTTTGTTCATCAGCTTTGGATAGATGATTGCATTTTACCTTCCAGTTGACGATGTTTTTAGATAATTATTTTTACCATCCTTCAGTTGACAAAGTTTTTAGATAATTATTGTTAACATCCTTCAGTTGACAAAGTTTTTAGATAATTATTTTTAACATGCTTCAGTTGACAAAGTTTTTAGATAATTATTTTTAACATCCTTCAGCTGGCACCGTTTAATCTTTAGATGAATAGATTTTAAGTTGTTGAGTTTACAAGTTCAAATAATTTAATATTAGTTATCTGCCACAATAAAAATGTTTAGATGAATAAATTTAACATGGTTTTGTTCCCACCTAAGTTTTCTAATTTAAAGTGCTTACCTGTAGCTTATTTCTATTATCCGGAATCTACTTTAAAATTAGTTTTAACAATTGGTTCAAGGGGCTGAGTATTTTCTGGGAATAGTTTTATTTTTAACTTGAGCCAGGGTTAGAGGTCACACTTAACTTTGATCAGTTGTTTAATATTACAGTTAACTTAGTGATTAAAGGTGTATTAGTTAATTTTTAACTTAGTGCTAATTGATGCTGTTGTGAATGTGGTGGAGGACATGAAGCAAACTTGAAGGAGCACGTAACAAAAGTCTATGGTTTATATACAGTGTTGCCTAATGCTGGTTCCAGTGTTGCCTAGTGTTGGTTCTGCTGTTGCCTAGTGCTGGTTCCAGTGTTGCCTAGTGTTGGTTCCAGTGTTGCCTAGCATGGCTGAGCCAATTATCCCTGTACGACATCCTAAACCTAGACACACTGGCTGTAGATTCTCTTCCATATCCAGAGTGCCTAGCATAGCTGAGCCAGTGGTCCCACTGTTGCCTAGCATAGCTGAGCCAGTGGTCCCACTGTTGCCTAGCGTAGCTGAGCCAGTGGTCCCACTGTTGCCTAGCATAGCTGAGCCAGTGGTCCCACTGTTGCCTAGCATAGCTGAGCCAGTGGTCCCACTGTTGCCTAGCGTAGCTGAGCCAGTGGTCCCACTGTTGCCTAGCGTAGCTGAGCCAGTGGTCCCAGTGTTGCCAATGACCCCAGTACAACAGTGTAAAGCTAGACCTACTGGCTATAGACTGCCTCCCATCAACTCCCAGTTCAACTGCCTGATGCTTAAGACCAAATGTATGGTATGTGGGAAATCAGAGGAGTCTTGCAACCATTTGTCTAATGTCAATAGAAATAAATCAATCTTACATGAAAATGTAAATAAAAATGTAGAATTAAGTACAAAGGTAGAGAATGTAGCCTTTATGTTGTTCCTATCTTTTGATTACCATGTTGGTGTTTTGTTGTACACTGAATAAACAGAGATAAATATTTGAGTGATGGAATCAAGAAGTGCTAGCACTGAATCAGTACTGTGGGATGGTTATGTGAGGCAGCACTATAACACTGGGATTGTGTAATGAAGAGCTTTATCCATGGCTGAGGTTGCTTGTAGGAAAACTTTGACCTCATGCATACATGTACCCACTTGTTGTAGGAAAACATGCATCAACGTACGCACTGTAAATAGCCTATCATGAAATGGCTTTTTGTTTGACATTATGACATATGTAATCAGATCTCTGTACCCACCAGAATAACCTTGTGATGTCATAATTTATGTAATTAGGTCAACTAATTTTGCATCCTGATATCATAGTATTTTTTTTTTATCAGACCATGACATTTTAAGAGCATTAAAAATACAGAAATAATGAATATGCATGTTATTATTAAAATGTCATTTCTTTAAATTGATCTATCATACAAGGGTGAAGGAATAATGTGTTATACTTTGTGTATAGAACCTAGGTCATCCTATGTATCCAGTAGGTAACCATGACAAAAACATTAAAACAGATGTAGCTAATAATTCACCTTATCACCTGAAAGATGGAACTTTTTTTAAATCTCATTCATCTGTCTAATTATGTGCAAGAAATAGGCTGTAAGTGTAAGGTGTACTAATCAAAGCACATTTTAATAAATTTTTGAACAGATATCTAAACATTTTTTACAAGATAAACTTATCATTAGTTAACTAATTGTTCTAATAATTTGCTCTTTAATTAATTGGCTTAGATGCACTTTCACATTTCATTCATTACCCATGTCCATTTTTAGAAATAGCCTTTATTTGGTCGACTATTTTATGTTAGAACTGAAATGTCCCCTGTAGAGCTTGTAGCAAGGTTAGGTTAACTCCCTTGAGCACATGCCACCATCTAGATCAGTGTTTCCCAATGTTTCACCCACATTTGATGATTGGGTGGAGGGGAAGGGTGAGGTTATTTGATAATTTCATTTTTGAAGAGGTGTCATTAAAATCTTTATTTAAATACTTATAAGTAATTACGCTCTTGATGCTAATTATGGAATGTCATAACTAATGGCTAAATCTGTTTGCTGCACCTGTATGCTGCAGGCTGTACCTGTATATTGCAGGTTGGACCTGTATATTGCAGGCTGTACCTGTATATTGCAGGCTGTACCTGTATGCTGCAGGGTGTACCTGTATGCTGCAGGCAGTACCTGTATGCTGCAGGCTGTACCTGCAGACTACCTGTATATTGCAGGCTGCACCTGTATATTGCAGGCTGTACCTGTATGCTGCAGGCTGTACCTGCAGACTACCTGTATATTGCAGGCTGCACCTGTATGCTGCAGGCTGTACCTGTATATTGCAGGCTGTACCTGTATATTGCAGGCTGTACCTGTATATTGCAGGCTGTACCTGTATGCTGCAGGCTGTACCTGTATATTGCAGGCTGTACCTGTATATTGCAGGCTGTACCTGTATATTGCAGGCTGTACCTGTATATTGCAGGCTGTACCTGTATGCTGCAGGCTGTACCTGTATGCTGCAGGCTGTACCTGTATGCTGCAGGCTGTACCTGCAGACTACCTGTATATTGCAGGCTGCACCTGTATATTGCAGGCTGTACCTGTATGCTGCAGGCTGTACCTGCAGACTACCTGTATATTGCAGGCTGCACCTGTATGCTGCAGGCTGTACCTGTATATTGCAGGCTGCACCTGTATATTGCAGGCTGTACCTGTATATTGCAGGCTGTACCTGTATATTGCAGGCTGTACCTGTATATTGCAGGCTGTACCTGTATGCTGCAGGCTGTACCTGTATATTGCAGGCTGTACCTGTATGCTGCAGGCTGTACCTGTATATCGCAGGCTGTACCTGTATGCTGCAGGCTGTACCTGTATATTGCAGGCTGCATCTGTATGCTGCAGGGTGTACCTGTATGCTGCAGGCTGTACATGTATGCTGCAGGCTGTACCTGTATGCTGCAGGCTGTGCATGTATTATACCTCAAATTTAGCTTATCTGTTAGCATTCAAGCCTGTATGAGCTACATCAAATGAGGATCTAGTCAATATGAGCAAACAAAGCCCATGACTAATTGCTAATGCATTAAATAGTTTCTTAATTAATTCGTATACTTACATAATAATTTAAAAGTAAGTATTCACTATAAATAAAAATAAACGTATAGATTCAACACAAACAAAACAAACATTCCTCTGAAACATTGATTCATTTAACATATTGTTACATATGCTTATCAGAGTAAGTTACATGATGTAACGTATGTGTGTGTGTGTGTACTTAGTGTGTTGTGAGTGCTAAGACAAGAAGTAGGAATAAAAAAAAACATGTTACATGATGTAACATGTGTGTGTGTGTGTGTGTGTGTGTGTGTGTGTGTGTGTGTGTACTTAGTGTGTTGTGAGTGCTAAGACAAGAAGTTGGAATAAAAAAAATGTGTTACATCCACAGAGCACAGAGATACCAGACACAACACTTTTGGTGCACTTTTTTGGGAGGAACGGGAAAAATGTTCTTCAGTACAAGGACTTTCATAGGTAGATCTGTCTGTCTGGCTTATTGATCTAGCTCATTCTGTCTGATCCTTGGCTCATTCTGTCTGGTACTAAAAGTCTGGCTTGTTCTCTCTGGTACTAAAAGTCTGGCTCATTCTCTCTGGTACTAAAAGTCTGGCTCATTCTCTCTGGTACTTAAAGTCTGGCTCATTCTCTCTGGTACTTAAAGTCTGGCTCATTCTCTCTGGTACTAAAAGTCTGGCTCGTTCTCTCTGGTACTAAAAGTCTGGCTCGTTCTCTCTGGTACTTAAAGTCTGGCTCATTCTCTCTGGTACTTAAAGTCTGGCTCATTCTCTCTGGTACTAAAAGTCTGGCTCGTTCCTCAATAAAAAAGTTGGTTGTGTTAAAAAAGTTTGTGTTATTGACCAAGACCACATGAGCATGTTTGAACCAGATCTGTCCCTCCTGCAGGTTTATGGAGAATCTCCAAAGTGAAGTCATTGAGCTGGAGTTCCTGGAGTTCTCTAAGGGCATGAGCACAATCTCAGAGGTAGCCTTTGCCAAGATTCTGCTCAGGTAGCCACACACACAAGCACACACAGACATGCATATAATCACACATTTACACACATAAATTAATGCACCCACACGTGACATACATGTCATATTATGCTATATTGGTTTTTCTTTGTAAAGAAGGTTATTGTAAACATCAGTCAAGTTGTACCTAGCTTTGTTATTGTTTGTATTGTGAGTGTAATAGTAGATGTATAATTTTAAATCTTAAGCTATAGTACAAAAATTATTTAAAATAAATTTTGTATGTGTAATTGTGTGTGAATGTTTTGCATTGATTGTATTGTATTTACAGATGAAGCTCTACATTATACTCTGTCAATAAAAAATGTATTTTTAAAAATGTTCTAGCAATTAGAAAAAAAAAAGCTTTTAAAAAATTGTTTCCAACCATGATGAAAATAGTTTAAAAACAGAATTAATCTTGTACTGATAAATTTGTTATTTCTGCAATGCTTAGGTACACAAACCTAGACCGAGGGGATGTTGAGGATTGTCTGAAACGGGTCAAAGAAAGAATGCCCAATGAAAAGGTTTAACATTTTTTAACTTGTAACAAGAAGTTGCTACTTTTGAAAAAGATGTACATTTTAATTTTTTTAAGTGTACACATTAATGAACACTTTCTTCTAATTATATTTGTACAGGGTATCACATTTGATGAGTTTAAAAAGTTTTGTCAATTCCTCAACAACCTGGATGACTTTGCAATTGCCATGAAGATGTACACATTTGCTCAGCAACCGGTTTCACAAGGTAACAGATTAGTTTTCCCTGGCTACAGTTAGCCTTCAATAGATTCAATAATCCTGTTTGGGTACCCATTCAATAATCCTGTTTGGGTACCTGTTTTACAGCCAGCTTTTATTTGAGTTGCCTCCTCTAAAATGTTCTTCATTAACGAAGTTAAAATAGTTAAAGATCACTTCTGCTCTCTGCAATTCTTTGGTCCCAAACTGAAGTCAATAACATAACATTCATACAAACATTTTTTTAAAAGAGCTACAATTTTCAACTATTTTAAACCTACAGAGCAAGTCTAATGAAAAAAACTTATTTCATGAATAAGGTTTAAGTTTAGACAAGATAAAGTGTCACTTTAAGTTAAATGTGAGCTAAAAATATTTCTCACCAACCCCTCACTTTAGTTTGATAAGCAAAAAATTAGATAAGAAGCAACTGACATCAGAAACTGGGGTATTGAAATTAGAGGATTAGTTAACTGTGAAGCAGAAGCCTGCTTTTAATATTTAGTGCTAACTCTAAATCTGTTTGTGGTACTAATTAAGTAATTTAGTGCTAACTCTAAATCTGTTTGTGGTACTAATTAAGTAATTTAGTGCTAACTCTAAATCTGTTTGTGGTACTAATTAAGTAATTTAGTGCTAACTCTAAATCTGTTTGTGGTACTAATTAAGTAATTTAGTGCTAACTCTAAATCTGTTTGTGGTACTAATTAAGTAATTTAGTGCTAACTCTAAACCTGTTTGTGGTACTAATTAAGTAATTTAGTGCTTACTCTAAATCTGTATGTGATATGAACTGACTGTTTATCTTCTCTGTAGAGGAATTCATGCGTGCTGTGATGGTGTGTACAGGTTTCAGCCTAGGATCTCATATAGTCAATACCCTGTTCAACATCTTTGATACTGATGGAGATGGTAACTTATCCCATAAGGAGTTCATTTCTTTGATGAAGGACAGACTACACAGGGGTGCACGAGTAAGTTCACGTGGTTTTTTTGTTTCAATAAGTGATCGCATCATTTCAAGCTGTTTTTTTTTAGATTGTCAGTGAGACAGGTCAATAGTCTGGTCGTGGACTAGTTTGTTGAAATGAACTACACAACTTTACAAAGAATGGGTAGAAAAACAGTTTTATTTAAGGCCACATTTCTGACGATAAATGGGAAATTATTTTTTTCCAGTCTCATCTTATGCACAGTCAGAACAAACTGGAAGCTTTTAAAACTTGTGTCAAGAATGAAATGAGGACATTTTAGCACCAATCTCACATCAGGATACAAAAGTCACAAGTTCCTTGAGGTGAAACCTTGAGCTCCCCACCATTTTTATCTATTTTTTTTTGTTTTTCCAAAGCCTTAAAAAAAATTCCACAAATTTTTTATAATTTACCAATCAAATAGTCTGGTCTGGCCAAGCTCTCATTTGAACTTCTCTTCTTACCATATATAATATATGTCTGTGATTTTTCTGTAAATATTTATTACTGTACATTGCTTTGTTTATAAAAATTTCTATTTATATTATACCAATCGTAGTAGCTTTTAAAATAAGGACATGAAAATGCTGAGGGTCTGTTTACTGAAAAATTCTATTAACTGTCTTGCATTTCGAAGTAAGAAGGCAGAATTTCTCAGTGTTCCGTCAGTGCAACAATAAAATATGCAATCCTCCCATCCAATGATTTTTTACCTTGAAATTAAAAACAATTAAAAAAACAATTTTCAACTAAGATTTTTTTCTTTATTATTTTTTTTTTAATTTTTAAACACATAATGATAAATGTTACTAGCATTACAGTGCAGAATATTTGATACATCTGATTGTGAGAAGAGCAAAACAAATTGATGAAATTTGTACACAAACTCTGCTGTAATCACTCTATGTATATACAATGTAACACAGAAGGCCATGGGTGGAGGACACTAAAGCATTTTTGTCCTGGTAAAATTGATATCCCACTGATGTGCAGATTATTCTACCATCATAAAATAAATTGGCAAGACAAACAAATGAAACTAAATGACATGGTGTTAGGCACTATCACATTAGAGGAAGGAGAAAATAAAACCAACAAACATAGCCAAATAATTTCTGTACACTTGTTCTATTTACACAACTCAAGCCAGTCAACACAGGTGATGATGCTCCCCTATCATGTCTTGAGCCTTGGGTATTTACACAAAGATGAATGCCAATTTGTTCTAGTTTGCATAGAAGTGAGAAAACTAACATGATGCGGACATTCATTAAGATGCAATTAACACACTGAAAGTTTTATTTTTTGAAAAATTTACTGCCTTTGTAGAAAATACATTATTTGTTTAAAAAAAAAATGCAAAAAAAAAAATTCAAATTTTGTTTCAAGCCAAATATAAGATTTTCAAAAGTAAAAAACCAAAGGAGATATATACAGCATCTTAGCAATTAAAAAAAATGTGTACATTCTCTCAAAATCATCTATAGTATCAATATGTGAGTCAGCTATATGATGGATCTTATTCTCAAAATTAAGTAAAAATAACCCTACATTAGACAATTCCCAGGTGTACCAGCTAGAGAGGCCACAGAAACAGCTACCCATGTCTGTCAAAAAAACATCCCAAACCTAGGCTCAGCACTCAATCTTCAACTAAGAGACAAATATTTCTTAAGCCATAGATTTCTATTTATTAAATTATCAATTTTAAAAACCATTCCTTTTTTAAATGAGAAAAAACAAGAATAAGCATGGACAAACATTCTACAGGCAAAAAAAGAAACAATTGGAATGTCAAAAAGTCCAGTAGAACACCTAAAAATGCCTGACAGTGGTTTATAGATTGTTTCATTTAGCATCAGACAAATCAATACAGCTGTGTTGAGCCTAGCAGTTTTAAAAGATTTTTTTCAACTTAGCACTTTATAGTTACATAGAAGAAAACTGTTAAATAAACAGCTGGCATGTAGATGGATCTGCAATTTTTTATGTGGTGTACATCTTAAATTTATGTCAGAAAAAATAGTAACTTAAAGATCTAGCAGTTTCTTATCAAATAGGTAAAGAAAAAAGTCATGGATTGATTAAAAAAAATTAAATTAGGCACACAAACAAACAATTTCAACATGGCACAAAGAAAAATATTTGAGCGAGAATTACTGCACAAAAAAGATTTGAACTTTTTTTTTTATATAGTCACTTTTACAAAAACCTCAGTTTATTATTTAAATTGACAAAACTAGGAAATGTTTTAAAAAAATACTAACTTACTTAAATTTGATGACAATACAAGGTTTGAAAGTGATGAAAGTAGGAAAAGTATTTGACAATTATACTTGATAAAATAATTTAGGTTGAACTAGGTGTTAAAATATGCAGCTGAAAGCCACTTCAATTCCTGGCAATTTTTGTCAACTATAGCTACTGTTAAAAATTATTATCTAGAAGCCTTTTATGAAACATATTTAAGCAATAAAAACTTATTTTGGTTTGTCCCTCTTAAAATCATGTCTACACAGGAAGTTTATAGTGATAATGCAGAAGGTCATAGCAAAACAGTGGTTAAAATCTATAGTAGATAACTCACCAGCTTTCATACAAGTAGTTTTTAAATTACTTATTTAAAATAAGAAATGAAGTGCATTAAATTGGCAGGAGAAAGAATATGCAGTGCACATCAATGGACTATTTTGGTTAGCTCCCCTGGAAGAGATATTTTCTTTTAGATTATGCAATGTTTATCCCTGCATAGATGTAAAATAAATTCTCAACACTAACAGATCAGAGTCCTTGTTTGAAGCTGAATATTTGAACATTAAAATAAATATTATGCTTTCATTGCTCACTAAGTGATTTACAAAATTAAAAAATGTGCAGATTGTTAATGTAGGTGTGTTACAAGTAAAACAGCCCTTTCACATTCAATTGGGAGAATTATTTAACACAAGTATGGCAACAATAACCAAAAAATTGCACTCTTTATCAGTATGAGAGGCACTTAGAACAAACAAAAATCTAAATATGAACCTATAGAATCTAAATATATACACAAATAAAATAGGTTAAGATCTTTCCATCACTTCTGTACTCACATCATCAGTACAGTGCTGTACAGATACTGTACTTACATCATCAGTACAGTGCTGTAGAGCTTCAGATACTGTACTCACATCATTAGTACAGTGCTATACAGCTACAGATACTGTAGTCTAATCATTAGAACAGCGCTCTGGAGCTATAGACACTACAAATAAAATACCCTTCAGTTTAGTGGCAATGTTAGACAATACTGAAGCTCTTGGATACACACAATCCAAAATGTATTGACATTAACCAAACTGTATAGACCTAGTCATCACTTAAATGTCACATGGACATTTAAAAAAATATCTCCAAATAGGAACTTGAGTAGTATAAAAGCAAAGCTAAAAGATCTGTAGTTTAAAAAGTTTTGTAAAACAATGCCAGGCTAATAAACACACACAAATTTTCAGTGAACTTCCTTGGGTGGAGGGTTATTGTGTACAAATAATTAAGTTATCAGCTAACAATGTTTATTAAACATGTTATATAATATTATATTAATTATCAGAAAACTTGAATATTTAATAAGTTTTCTAAGTTTTCATTACAATGAATATTTGAACCATTCAAAAGAGTGTAAGTTACAGTCTCTCCCTGTTTACAGCACACAGCACAATGAGTTAATGTTGATGATCACAGCTAGACCAGACTTAGCAAGCAGCCTAATCACAACTCCAATGAACATCCAGAGATGAGGGCTGGACCCACACATGGGAAGTGAGATGTTGAAGTGTCCTACACTTATCTTACACCAAACATTTTCTAATGGACCAAACACTGATGAGCATGTCTAGAAGCAAACACAGAGCCTGACTCTAATCTACTTTGATTTGTGTTAGTTGCTCCATGCAACCTGGATACTAATGTTGCATGATTGCTATCCAACTCAATATATTATTTAACAATCATACATTTAAAAAAATTGTTTACACATTTATTTCACAAGCTCCCACGTAGGCCTGACACTCCAGTCTTCAGCTGTCAATAAACTCTACATAGTTCTCTGGTATAATTCCTGTCTTTCCATCCAGGGTACCTTCTAACCATCCCGGCTCTCGTGACGGTCGCACTAAAAACAATCAAATGTGTTTAGGATCAAAGTTCACATGCATTTAGTATTTTTTAAAAATTATCTTTATTTTTTAACTACAAGCCTAGTTAGTTAATTTTTTTAAATAAAAAAAATACCAGATAAATGGGTAGCTAGGAATAAGAACTCACCATTAGTAATCAGCTGATTGGCTTCAAAGGACAACTCTGTCTCACTGTCAGCTATACATCGATACCTTGTTATCACAGTTCTGTAACACACAGTTAAGTCATGTAGACAGATGCTGCAACCCATGCTATGTTAACTCATAGACAGGAGGAGATCATGTTTAATTAAGACCCTTACCAAGCAGCCTTTTACCTCTAGATCAAAGGTAGCTGGTTTCTCTCAAGTAAATTATATACATTCTCAACTCTATAGCCAGACATTAAATCAACCATTTTATGTACTTCTGAAGCAATGGCAACACTATAGCAATGTCTAAACTACTATTAAAATATTCAAAGATTTTGAGTCATTGTCAATTATCAGTAAAAATTTAATAAGTAAACACAGTACAAGACATCTTCAAAGGGATGTGTTATAGGTTTAGAAAGCACAAACAAATGAAACTGTTAAGCAGCTGGTTACAAGATGCTATACCTGCGAGCTGGTTTACTAGAAGACAAACTAGATACACTGCCAGTCAGGCTGCCCTGCATCGACGACGACCTGAGGAATTTATTCAGTTAATTAGCAATGCTGCAAGATGTACCTGCAATGCTAGATCATTCTGGTAAGACTAAGTCAGTAAAAAATGATGCATTTAGTCATGCTCACAGTAGTCATTTAAATGAGTATGTAAAAATTGCCCTGTTTTAAATCAGTTGGTTACCAGAAGTATAGATAATGGATTTAATTCATGCTTTTAATAAACGTTAAATTTTACATGTTATGCATTTTAATATTTATTTGCATTGGCAAAAATTGGGTAGCAAGCAGATATTCAAATCTAACAAAGAAAGGTAAATCTAGTTTACTAAAAAAATAAAAGGAACCACCTGGCAAAAACTGGCCATAATTTTGTTAGATCTAAACATTGAGTACAAACTCCAGCTCAATTTCAGGCAGAACACTAAATAGGAAACTGTCTTTATTCAACATTAGGGAAAGCTACAGATTCTAAATTGTTAATGTTTACATTAATATGCATACTACTATTTCATTTTATACATTTTCACCAATTGCTTTTTAAGAAATGAATTTTAATAAATCTTTTAAATGAGGCCAAAAAAAAAAAAAAAACTGAACTAGGAAATTATAAATCTTTCATCTATGGTGCCATTCTTAAAAATAATTTTTAAAATTAGGAAAGCCACATGATTTCTGTTTGAAATCATAAATTTGTATTTTGGGCGTTTTGCATGGTGGTTTCTCATTTAATTAAATAAAAGCTAAAAAATGGGATGCCGGTAGCAACTTAACACAAAAATATAGCTCTAATTAAAGCCAATATGAATGAACTTAAAGAAACAAAAACTTGGAACATTGGTAGATGCTCACATGACTCCCTGGCCAGACGAGTAATCATTGCTGCTGCGCTTCTTCACACTTCCACTGTTTAGTGAACAAAGTTAGTGAAATACACTGTTAACTTACTGAAGACCACGAATTATTAGAAATGCTTCAAATACCCTGGATTTCTTTCCAGTTTGTTCTAGCACTTTTGCCTTAGGTTCACAAATTTTACAGGGTGGGAAAAAAAAAATTGGGTGAAACTATTTAAAAATAAAAAAGCAACATTTTTAAAAATCAGCAAAAATATAAATAAATAAAACCAGGAAAAGCATTTAAACTAAAGAAGCAAATTTAACAGCACCATTTTTAATCATTAGTAAACACTGGATTATTATACTGAAACTAAAATTGGTAAGTATGATTCATCTTATGGCACAATGCACATAACAATGCAATCTATGCAAATATGTTTAATAATACTACAATGCACATTAAGTAAGGCTGATTTTATTTACATAGTGAAATTTTAAAATACATAATCAAGCTTACTTTTTAATGGTTTTTATTTGAAATTTAAACAATCAAGCATAGGGCATTTAGTCTATATTACTACTTCTAAAAATTGAATATATACATTATTTATTTTTTTAGAGATTTTACTAGATCCAATTTATTTGAGTTTGTAAGCCTGGTAGTGAAATAGAAACAGCTTTCTTATCTGGATAGGTTGTAAAATCTATATATAAACTGATGCTGGCTAGGAGTTTGAGGAAAAATTTTCTGCACATTAAATACTGTCCGTACAGACAACAATAAAACCCAGTAGCTAATTCAAGTGGGTGTCAAGAGGTTAACAAGGTTGATTACAAATTTCAGTTGAAATTTTTAAAAGGCATTTTGGTATGATAAAGTGTGTCAATTCAAAACTAGTTACCATTTAGTAGCTAACAATGAATAAAAAAATTTAGTGAATTTAGTCTCTAAGTTCTATCACAACTAATGCCATAAAAATAACCCCAAGACAAAACTCTGGCTCTAGAAGCAACACAGCTAACAAGACAAGCGCCAGTTGTACTTACAAGGCAGGAGTGTCACCACCAGATAGGTTCAGGTTGTATCTGGTTGCTGAAACAGAAAACAGACAAATTACTACAGCAAGCTTGTACAAGATAACAATAAACAAATACACATGTCATAGGATTTATTTTACAAGTAGACAATGTACTGCTTATTACTGATCTTTTTTTTCACAGAAGCACAAGAAAGTTGACCTAGGAATGAAACACTTGCCAAATAAATATGTATTTAGTTATTGCCCTTCATTTCTTTTAAATTTGAACTGTTATATTTTATTCTGTGTGGATCTAATATAAACTTTTTACAAAATAATTAGTACTTTTAGCAACAGGATTGAAATATAAGATTAAATTACACTATCACAATTTATAAGTGATAAATATATGTGCTAAGCATCTGATTACATGGCGCTACAAGATTATTGATCTGCTGCCTACAGGCCATTATAAATATGAATTATCTTTGCATTACTATGGATAATGTATAAAGAAAAAAAAAGGTAAACAAAACTAGCTTGTACTTGCTATACTATAAAATCTGGATAACAAGAAAACATTTTACAGGATGCTTTAACAATTAATCTCAAACCAACTTTTGAAACACAATTTTTTTCTGAAACAGTATCAGATACCAATGTATTTATCAGACATGTTAGATTCTAACTATGTGGTCAAACAACATGCTCACTATACTAAAATGATTGCATTAATAATTTTGTCATGTTGTTATGTAAGAATCTTAGCAAATTAAGCCCAATTTAGTTTACTTTATCATGTTTGCGTGCAAGACCCTAGCAAACTCAGTCCATTTTTCTATTTCTGTTTGCGTGCAAGCCCCTAGCAAACTCAGTCCAATTTCTATTTCTGTAACTGTGTCATTGGGCAAGTCTCTATACAAGCCCCCAGCGCAAAATCTAATGTTTGTATACATAAGTCATTTCTATTAGCCACCCAACTAACTGTAGCCTGTTAGTAAACTTCATGCAAAGATCACTGATTATGGTTGTTACTCAGTTAACTTGTGTAAACATGTGCACACTTTAGATTTGAACACACTCAGTGAGAGCAAAACTAAAATATTTTAAAATTAAAAAAAAAAAACCCAAAAAAATAAAATGTTTATAAAGCTGGTTAAAAATACGGGACAGGAGAGAGAGAAGGTCACAGGAAGAGTCTTCAGCATAAATAAACTGTATCTAATAAAGGGATTGCAAGCTATTTAATTAACCTATTGGGACACAGATTTAACATGATTTATAGAGGAAGATTTTAAAAGATTTGTTTATTGCCTAGAAGAAATTAAAGGCCACTGTCTCTAGAAATTTAATTCATAACATTTATTGCTGCGAGGAATTTATATGCAATTCATTTGTAATTTAGATGAAACTAAAAGTCATTCATTAACTTGAAGAAAAATTCATGCCTGGAGGAAATTAAAAGCCATATATTTATTGAGTGAGACTACTAAGAGAAGACAGAAGTTTCAGGTAGGGTAGAGGAAATGGTCCAGGATGTCAGCAGAAACAGCAGCATAAAACAGTGCAGTCACATCTAATCACTAAAAACTGTACTGGGTTGATTAGTTTACAAGTTATTGGCAACCAGGAAAAATACGGATGCAGCCGATGTTTGGGTGCAACAAGAACATACGTGGAGGTTGGAATGCTGAGTAATAAGGATACAAATCCAAGTGATTCCCACGATGTCCTGAACAAAGAATAAAACCAATTAATTAATTATCTCATCTGCTCAATTAAACCAAACCTGTATTGAGCTAAACTCAGGTTATCACTGAAGTGAAAACTTGCCAAGTTAAAACCCATAACATGAGGGTAGTAATAGTTGACAGAGTGTGATTTCTCTACAAGGAGAAAACCACTAAACTACCCTTCTGCTTTCAGAGCAATGTACAGTAGTCAAGTTTTCTAGCACACTGCTAGCCATGTTAGCAATTACTCAATGTCCATCGCAATTACGTGGACAAAAAAGTTTTTAAAATTTACTTTTTTTCTTTTCTTAATACAGTTTACAGACTGCCTTTTAATAAAATAGCATTTTTAAAATCTTAATCAAGCTAATGTTGCATAGTCATTCATGTGATCAGTATTAAATGTACTGAATGGATTAAAGACAGCTTGGATATATAATTGCCTTGGGTGAATTTTTTTGACATTAGCTGATAGAGTTATTTTATCAGAGTGGCATTTTAAAAATCTAATACAAGCTGAAGCCTAATTAAAATTTAATTGATCAGTTACATGCTGTTCTCAATAATGAAAGAGATCAAAGTCTGTGCCTGCACTAAACTGTTTTTAAAAAATGCAATCAAGCAAGACTTCAAGTTGTTGTAGCTCTATGACTAATCTATGCACTAGAGCTCTTTCTTCTACTGCCCAATAATGTGTTCTTACATTCTGTCTCTTTGGGGGAGGGTAACTGTGGTTCATCTAAACAAAAAAATATTTCAATAAAATATTAACAAAAATGGTACAAGAAACACTGTGTCCAGGCAAACAAGGGAGACATACCCAACTCATGGGAAGTCATCCAGTAGCAACTATGCTGAGTAATTACCTACCCATTGCATTAACATTTGAATACACAGGCGGTTCTTTATTATTAGATCCCCTTCGAATGCCTGAGTCTGCTATAGGTGGTGTGACCCCACCTTGAAGACCTCGGGGTGAAAGGTTACTTTTGGCAGAATTAAGTGATTCTGTACTGCTGCTTGTGCTGCTGTGCATATCAAACCCTAAAATTTAGAAGAACAAGGCATACATTGTTTTCATTTTAAAGATCAAACTAAGATTAAACTATTTAAAACTTTTTTTTTTATTGTGGGACATTTAAATTATTTCTAAAAATAATTTTTATGCAACATGTGAGCTGATACCATAAAACAGCTTTAAAAATCACATTTCTAGAACTTAAATATTTTGTTCTATTCTCGCTAGAAAGATTTAATCTTATAAAATAACAAAGGGGGAAATTAATTAATTAGAATAGAAAAAAACCCCAGACTCAGCTGACCTCCAGTGTTTGCATTAAAAATTTGCACTGGTCGAATCTTTGGACGAACAGCATTAGGATGCACTGGGGCTTGATTTGCATAGATGGTTGAAGGTTTAGTAGCTGAGTGGTTGACTCTTGCTGCAGCAGCTGATGAGTTGGTGCTCTTGGGTGGAGGCTCGCTGTTGCTAGGCGCTGCAGCTGTGGTACCTTGTAGCCTGGACGATGCCTGGTTTGTAGTTGGAAGAACTTTAGATTCACTGCCATCAGGTGGGGTCTTGAAGATCTGGAAATGAGAAAACTATCAGCATCTGCCCAACTCTTGTACATTTAATTAAGATGAAGTGTAAAACTAACCAACAACTAACCTCGTCATAGTTGTTAACGAGGATCTCCACAACTATGTTACAAAATTTGATGTCCATGATTGCAGCCATGGACTCTTCTTCTGGACGCATTAAAGATGGACCAAAGCAGACACCCAGGTTAGCCACCGTCATCTTGTTGATCTCACTTTCGGCTGCCACTCTAGGGGTGAAATAAATTGATATTTATTGGGCTTAAACAACACTCATGGGCTTAGTCCTGACAACACTATCCTTTACACTAGATGAATGACTGTTATAGTAAGGGTTGGCTTATTTGGCCACAGAGAAAATGAGCTAACATGAATTAGTAAGATCATAATTTAAACCTTACAGCTTACTAGTAAAAAAATATTTCCAGCCAACTTACTTTTTTAAATGACTAATCAAAAGATCAAGCATGTGAAAATTAGATTCAGGAAGCTGGTGGACATATTTGTGGACATCAAGTATTCTTAAGGTTTTACTTTCTTGCTCTGTGGACAAAAATTCAGAAGAATTCAGCACATGCTCACATCTAGCCATCAGCTAGAACCTATGCCTACACACAGAAAATCTCTATCCGTATTAGAATGGATAATAAGTTTAATTTAAAAGCTGCCAGTTAGAACTTAGAGCAAATATAATTTATAGTCATCATAGCTCTTAATTATAGCCATCAGGACAGTCAGTTAAAATATATAGTAATCAATGCTACCTAGTTCCCAGGCTATCCTTCAGTTAATTTACTTTGAAATCTACCTTAAAAAATAAAAGTTATGTCATAAAATACATACAAGGAGAATAGTGTGGTAGTTATTAAAATAGCTTACTAGCAGCTTTTATAAAGCTTTCATGCAGCTGGAAGGTCATTAGAGGCTCCGGCAAGGATCTGAAATAGGAGAAAAAGACAATTAGGCAACTCATTAGACAAATGCAGCCAGGAAATCTAATGAGGTATTAGTTAGGAAATAATGTACAGTTCAATATCAGAAGGTAGTTGCCTAGAAAAGCTTACAAGTGTACACTTCAAAACAAATTGTAGAAACCCTCTTGCTATTTGTTGAAACCAAATTGATTTGTTATTTTTAATTAGATAGTTTTTGTTTGTGCATTTACCTTTGAATATTGTTTACATTAAACTACAGGTAAACATGTCAGTATTGTTTATAGGAAAGAACAGGTAAACACACACCTGAGATAACTTTTTACTGCACTTGTGAGGGTCTTGATCTCATAAGCTGATGGGTCATCCAAGTTGAGTTTTTCTACTTTCTTTTGATCTGTTTACAGATAGAAATCACTTTAATAACTATTAGCTAAATTATTCCTCAGACAAATACAAAGGAATCAAAACAACTATGACAAAATGAGTACCTCTAAAAATAAAAGATATTTCCTGTTATTCAGGAAGAATATTCTTCTGTTATTTTTTAACAACTATTTAAACATACTAAAATACACATGACTAGGTGAGGAAGCTAGAATTATACCTAAGGCTGTTTTTATAAGGTTGTTGACCTTTGAACTGACTCCAACAACTCTATACAATCCTTGTTCCTGTAAACCTGTTAAGAAGAAATATTCAACATGTCATCAATTAAAACTCTTACTGCCTTACAAAAATACATTTTTCTATACAAGACAGAGATAGATTGTAATTAATTACAACACTAATTCATGGCAGTCATGCAATAAAACTTGAGTTTTCCAAAAAATGTATTGTGAGATGAGCTACAGGCAGGCCAAGGTGTGTATAGAATAAAAACTACAAGGTGTGTATAGAATAAAAGCTAATTTGGCTGCCAACTGTCTTGACTTACCCCTACTTTCAATAGCTGCTAATGAACGCTTGATGAAGTTGAAACCAATCTCATCCAGCATGTCTAGAAGAAACAGAAACAAATGTCACCAATGATAGTGATAGAAGGTTTCAATGACTGACATAAACAGCGATATTTTATAATGTAAACATTTTAAAATTTGTGCGTAGTTAAAAGTTGACAGAACTTACGGTCTTCAGACTTGATATGATGGATTGCATAGGTCTAGAGGTTCAAAGTAAATAAAATATTTAGGATAAATAACAATGCAAGATTACAGATTTTAAAATGTTGGTCACAACTGCATTAATCACATACTCTTGTGCTTACTTATTCATTTATTCTCAAATCGCATCCATTTAATTATGCCAACATACACATATTATATATGATTTGCTAATTTGAGCTTTTACACTATAATTTTCTATAATAATTTACTAAAATATTCTTCTGGACTATAACTTACTGGCTCCTTCCCATCCATAGCATCCAACCAAAGCCTTCTGTCATCTTCAGACAAGGCTTGAAATGTCATGGACACAGATCTGTGGACAAGAGGTGACACAATTCTAGAGAGGTGACACCGTGCTAGCTGTAGCACCAATAAGATAACAAGACACCAGATATTGGTGATCATTAGAAAATTGATTTTCAGACTCCAAAGAACATAAATTATTGCACATTTTAAATACACCTAGTATTAGGATTATCTGTAACAATAAAATGCTCAAAAGGGAATATTAAAGGAATAACACTTTTGCTATAATTTAAGATATATGGTCAATTAATGTGGACGTGAGAACTAAAATCAAATCTTAATTACTTAAAATGAAATTTATTTTTATAATTAGGTGTAGTAAATTTAAAATTTACTGAGATGAAGGAAGAGAATTTTTATGTGATATTAAATTGAAAGAAAGACTTAGATAAGTGTGATTAAGAAAAAATATGAATGATATATTTAGATGAGGAATTTTAGAAATAGATTTAGAAAAAAATGATAGATGAATAAATTTAAAAATTAAACACCAAATGTAATTGAAACTAATTTAATTCATATCAAGAAAATACTGAAATTGGGGGAAAAAACAGTTCAAGTATGTTAAATTACCTTAGGTTTACAGCTTTAAAGAAAGTAAAAAAATATAAATATAAAGCTCAGCTATTTTGTAGCATTAATTTGTTTACAAATGTATATGTTAAAACTTGAACGAAGAGATAATGTTACCAATTTTTACTACATTCACTGAACATAGTAATTAATTTCTAAAGTAGCTTTGCCATATAAACAAGTGAATTTAATATACGTAAAATGATGAATTGGTAATATAAAACAAATATATAACAGTACAAAATCAGAACTACATCATACAGTCATGTCCACATTTAAATTCTAAGTCATAGTTTACCAATTGAACCTATAACAATTAATTAAAACATCCTGGAAAAATGTTTAAAATGTAAGTTTATATAGCTTTAAGCAGTATGAGGGGAGGTAACAGGTGGGTGTAACGTGTTGGAGTAAGAGGTGGGTGACTGGGGAAAGAAGCATTTAGAGTTTAATGGGGAATAAAAACAATAATTTCTAGTGTACTTAACAAATTAGCTTTTTTTTTACTCTTTAACTGTAATGTATAGTAATACAAGTTGTTTTGAAATCTAAACTATAGTAGGGTCACAGGATGAGGATCTTCTATACAAAATAATACAGCTGCTCTAAGATTGGTCAGTTTATACATTACACTAATAACATCAAATTGACACTAATCTAAAAATAGACGGGAGTTGAAAAAACTTCAACCAACTACACACACAATTCAAAATTTCAATGGTTTGAAAATGAAACAAAAAAAAACCAATTGAGGAAATTGACAACTGGTCAGAGAAACAAAAAGACTAGAAGCAGGCAGGCAAAGAGAATGTGCAACCTGTCTCTGAGCAGTTTTTGTTGGTGGTGTTTCAGGGGTGATTTTAAGACATTGGCAGGGAAAGTTCTGTAGCTGTCTCCTGGTGCTAGAGAGCTGTCATCTAACCTAGAGAAGTGATGAGAATTAGGCTGACAATGTTCCAATTTGGTGTTTTTTTTTCTTGCTTGAGCTTGCATCACAAAAGATATGGATATTTCCATTCATTCAGTTGGGTACCAAACACTGGAGCCTGGACTATGTGCATACATTTAGAGACAAGGAGGTTAATTTAGCAAAACCATACCTCACAAATATAAATAAAAAAATTTAAAACAAAGGTACAATTTTAGAAAAAAAAATAACTTCTCATCTCAATAAGATCTAAGCTGTCAATAAGTTGCATTAATCCTGAAAAAAAAAACCCAACTAATCCCACGTGTTAGATAAACAGAAAGAAGAAGAAATGTTTTAGAGCCATTGAGCAACACAGGAGGGGTTAAGACTGTGTTTAACAACAGACAGGAAACAACATCAGCTAGTGAACATTCAATTTACTTACTTTTCTTTCAAAGTCACATCAAAACAAAATCTTTTTTCTATTGAGTCGGAGGCTCGCCTGGAGATAAATATAGAACAGTTGATAAAGTGATCATTTCATTAACTGTTCATATAACTTTACTAGGCACTGAAAATATTGATACAAAATATTTAGACAAGTGATTTCTTGTCTTACTACAACACATTAACCCTTTGAACCCTTAGCTCCTGACCCTAAAATCCCCATTCCCTTTGGCTGCTGAGCTAATGTACACACAATGGACTCTCCAGAAATGAAGACTACAAATATAACAACAAAGTAAATTTTATTACTTTAATGAACATGAATTATTGCTAGTTCTCCCAGTAGGTGACCCTTCTTTTAAGCTTAAGTATGTGTGGACATCGGTACAAAGCCAATAGTTGGTATTTTTAAAATATCTTTTCATCGTTAATTGATAAACAGAACAAAAAAATTGTGTGGGTGCAGCCATCACAAGAACTTACGAGTCCAACAGTACTAGTTTTTTTTTTAATATCACATTTTTATGAACGGACTGTGGGTCTGGCTGGGGAAAGGTGTCTGAGACTCGTTTATTGGTCTGCTGGGGCACATATATTTAAGACTCAAGCCATGTTCAAAGGGTTAATCCAGTAAGTTAAGTGTATTTTTTAGAGACCATTAGCATGGTCAGATTCCCCTTCAATTAATGAAATAAAGAAAAATGTGTACATACCTGACACATTTTTCCAAGGTAAATTTCTCTGGTTCATTCTGGCCAGGCGGACAAAAAAACAACAATTGTAAAACAAAGAGGTATTTATGGCGCTGAATTTCTTAATATCATCAGACTAGTGCTAAAAAAAACCATTACCATTTATACCTCCACACTCTTGACAGTCATACTAAACTGTGTTTAATAAAACCTTTACCATTTTGCCCCCCATCTGATTGTAGAGAATCATGTAAAATTCTTTAGTTTCTTTCTTGTACTGGCAGTAATACTTAGTCCATCCTGTGGTTCCTAGGGCCTCTGTTGAATTTTATAAATGAACACAATGTTTATGAATACAATCAGTATTCCTATAATATGCTCATGACAATAACATAATCAGATGAGCTAATTGTTGTAAGTAAACAACCCTAACAAGACAGACATCATAGTAGTATGACTAAAACAATCATTATTTAAACAAAGTTAAAGATGTATTACTTTTTTCCAGCAAGTACAAGTACCCCTGTCTTGTAAAACCTTTTAACGTGCTTGACTGATCCAGAGGTTTCTAAAATTCAAGAAAAAGACATCAGTCACAAATATTCATTTATTTCTCATTAATACATCGGACTACATTCATGTATTTAATTCTGTTACTGTAAACTGATAACATGGGAATATTGGTTCCTTGGATTATATTATAATTTCTAGTAATTTGCTTACGTAATGGAAATAAAAAATATAACGTCTATCATGCCATATTTAATTTCATCTAAATAGAAAGAGCACTGATAGATGGTCACACTAAATCAGATAACAAAAGAATGTAATTTAATTTTAGACCAAATTGTAATAGATTTAATATTTAGGACAACATCAATAGCATTTTAAACATGCACTGTAAACTTAGGAAAACAATTTCAAATAACTGGTGCACAGAGAAGAAAATACAACTTAAATAAATATATCTACAAAAAGCACATTTAATACTGCTTCCATTGCTAATTGACATAAAGAATAGCTAAGAGATCAAGAGTTTTTGAAGAAGAAAAAAAAGAACATATTTTTTAAGTTTTTGGGTAGCTTAATGTTATATTTGTCAGTTATGAGTAGAGCACAATCACTATCATTCAACAAAATTAGAATTACCATTGCACGTTGTTTTATCTAAATCAACAAATCCACCTTGTTTCTTTCAAGAAGAAAAATTTAAAACCTAAAACTGTCAACTCAACTACTTGATATGAAAATATAGAACAGTTTTTTCCCTAGGCACCTAAGTAACCACCCAAAAACTAAAAGTAGGAAGTGATAAATCTATTAAGAAACCAAAGATAAAGATTACTTATAAGAAAAAAAGTGTACATTAGTGTTTGTATAATGAAAACAACACCCCTGCTGGAAGGACATTGTTATGAGGAACTTAACAGTGTACAAGTATTGCTTATACGTAAAACAACTGTACAGTAGCACCTGAATATTGAGGACAACACCAGTGCCTTACCCACTGAGCTGCATGAAGCTAGATAGGTTTAGTAATCATTAGTTCAGACAGAACAAACAAGCAATGTTCAACACATTCTAGGATCTAAGTTTTTAATTTTAACTGTCAGTAAAACTAGTGATGAGGTATGAACTAAGGCATGATTAAGGCATGAACTAGAATCACTTAGTGCAGCAAATATTTTCTATGCTTGAACTAAATCAAATGAGATATAAGTTTTATGTAAAGATAAAATAGCTTCCTTTGACTACAGTAAGTTTAAGATATAAGTTTAGATCTACTTATAAATGTAAGCGGTAATGAATGCTTTATAAACATCATGTTTCAGAGGTATTGGGTGCTTTAGACATAAGTCCTGTTTTAGAGCTATGCAAGGACAAGCTGGTGGCTACAAGTAAAACTTACCAAGCCTTTATTTTCATTGAGCATTTTCCCCATCAATGTCTGAGCTTCATCTTTTGTGCACTCAAAATTTTCTCTAGTCTGAAGAAAGTTAATTTTGCATATATTTTAAATATGACAACATTTTTGTCTTACATCAGAAATATATCTACATTTTTACACAAAATAGGGAATAGTAATCAGAACTTTGTTACTTTTTAATACATAGCTGGTCGCATTCAATGCTATCCTTCACCAATAATCACTACCTTAGTCTTAATTGTATTCCTGACACTAGCACTGATTCTAATGTTAATTAATATGTCTGCTGCTAATAATATTTGGAGTAAAGAGATCTTGCTATGCTAATTGGGGTTTACAACAAATTCCCTAAAGACACTTGCCCGAATGCCGTTTTCCCAAATGGACACTTGCATAAATGCGACAAATGCCCCAAAGCCACTTGCACGAAAAAAATGTTAATTCAAATTTAAATTAATTAAGAATAATTATTTGGTCATCTATAATGTTAACATTTTTCTGGCAAACGGCTTTAGGGCATTTGTTGCATTCAGGCAAGTGTCCATTCTGGTACTTGTTGCATTCAGGCATTTGTTGCATTCGGGCAAACAACATTCAGGCAAGTGTCTTTTGGGGAAAACGTCCAGCTCCCGCTAATTGAAACTACCTAGCCTGTGATTTTAATAAATACCATAACTTCAGTAATGAATGAATGTGTATAAAAAAGTAACCTTCTGTAACAACTGACGCAGTGTCATGTCATAGTTTCGAAAATCCTCAAGGTCCACATAGCCTTGGTGATAGAAGGTCAACCAGCCAAGCATATAACTTAGAAGCTGCAGGAAAAGACAAAGTACCATCAATGTTTCATTACTAGTTAGCAATAGTAATCAAAATGCAGCATCACTGTTGTGTAGCTTAGTCAGTAAGTACAAACAAAGATCTGACAGTAATATAAAAAACATTTTTAAAAAGAAAAGAATAAATGTTTTAATATTTTGATAGTGTATTACATAAAAATGCTTACATGATGAGAAAATAAGGTATATGATGAGTATTGTTGACTCAACTAAAATAATTGACTGCATGACAAAAAAAAAATAGTGTTAAAATAGATGGAGAAAGATGTCTTACAATCTCAACAAACTCAAACTTTTTCTTCTCCTGCACTTCCTGCAGCTTGAGCACATACTTCATGGATGATGTGTAGAAGGCTTTCTTCTCAAACTCTACCTGGGTGTCAGCCTGGGGTGGAGGGAGGAATTAAACTTTAAAACATAAATAGTTGTAGTAGTAGGGTACATGGGCTGGTGGCTCAAGTCAGGTCTATGGGCTGGTGGCTCAAGTCAGGTCTAGTGGCTGGTGGCTCAAGTCAGGTCTATGGACTGGTGGCTCAAGTCAGGTCTATGGGCTGGTGGCTCAAGTCAGGTCTAGTGGCTGGTGGCTCAAGTCAGGTCTATGGGCTGGTGGCTCAAGTCAGGTCTAGTGGCTGGTGGCTCAAGTCAGGTCTATGGACTGGTGGCTCAAGTCAGGTCTATGGGCTGGTGGCTCAAGTCAGGTCTAGTGGCTGGTGGCTCAAGTCAGGTCTATGGACTGGTGGCTCAAGTCAGGTCTATGGGCTGGTGGCTCAAGTCAGGTCTAGTGGCTGGTGGCTCAAGTCAGGTCTATGGACTGGTGGCTCAAGTCAGGTGTATGGGCTGGTGGCTCAAGTCAGGTCTAGTGGCTCGTCAGGTCTATGGGCTGGTGGCTCAAGTCAGGTCTATGAGCTGGTGGCTCAAGTCAGGTCTATGGGCTGGTGGCTCAAGTCAGGTCTATGGGCTGGTGGCTCAAGTCAGGTCTATGGGCTGGTGGCTCAAGTCAGGTCTATGGGCTGGTGGCTCAAGTCAGGTCTATGGGCTGGTGGCTCAAGTCAGTTCTATGGACTGGTGGCTCAAGTCAGGTCTATGGGCTGGTGGCTCAAGTCAGGTCTATGGGCTGGTGGCTCTAGTCAGGTGTATGGGCTGGTGGCTCAAGTCAGGTGTATGGGCTGGTGGCTCAAGTCAGGTCTAGTGGCTCGTCAGGTCTATGGGCTGGTGGCTCAAGTCAGGTCTATGGGCTGGTGGCTCAAGTCAGGTCTATGGGCTGGTGGCTCAAGTCAGGTCTATGTGCTGGTGGCTCAAGTCGTCTATGGGTGGGTGGCTCAAGTAGGTCTATGGGTGGGTGGCTCAAGTCAGGTCTATGGGTGGGTGGCTCAAGTCAGGTCTATGGGCTGGTGGCTCAAGTCAGGTCTATGGGTGGGTGGCTCAAGTCAGGTCTATGGGCTGGTGGCTCAAGTCAAGTCTATGGGCTGGTGGCTCAAGTCAGGTCTATGGGCTGGTGGCTCAAGTCAGGTCTATGGGCTGGTGGCTCAAGTCAGGTCTATGGGCTGGTGGCTCAAGTCAGGTCTATGGGCTGGTGGCTCAAGTCAGGTCTATGGGTGGGTGGCTCAAGTCAGGTCTATGGACTGGTGGCTCAAGTCAGGTCTATGGGCTGGTGGCTCAAGTCAGGTCTATGGGCTGGTGGCTCAAGTCAGGTCTAGTGGCTCAAGTCAGGTCTATGGGCTGGTGGCTCAAGTCAGGTCTATGGGCTGGTGGCTCAAGTCAGGTCTATGGGCTGGTGGCTCAAGTCAGGTCTAGTGTCTCGTCAGGTCTATGGGCTGGTGGCTCAAGTCAGGTCTATGGGCTGGTGGCTCAAGTCAGGTCTATGGGCTGGTGGCTCAAGTCAGGTCTTTGGGCTGGTGGCTCAAGTCAGGTCTATGGGCTGGTGGCTCAAGTCAGGTCTATGGGCTGGTGGCTCAAGTCAGGTCTATGTGCTAGTGGCTCTAGTCAGGTCTATGGGCTGGTGGCTCAAGTCGTCTATGGGTGGGTGGCTCAAGTCAGGTCTATGGGCTGGTGGCTCAAGTCAGGTCTATGGGCTGGTGGCTCAAGTCGTCTATGGGTGGGTGGCTCAAGTCAGGTCTATGGGTGGGTGGCTCAGGTCTATGGGCTGTTGGCTCAAGTCACTTAGTCAGGTCTATGGGCTGGTGGCTCATCAGGACTATGGGCAGGTAGTTCATTACAACCATTGGTAGGGTATATGGGTTGATAGTTCATGACTGGTAGTGTATGGGCTAGTGGTTCTACACATCATTTAGTAGGATCTGTGGACTGGTAGTGGCAGGTAATTCATGAGACATTTTACCTCTTGTAATGTAGAATCATTTATCTTTCCAGCCTTCATATTGAGATATCTTTCTTGGGACTGGCAGAACTTTGTTGTTTGCTTGTCAAAGTTTTTCTTCTCCTCCTGTCAAACATTTTATTAACTCATTTAAATCAGAGAACAATACATCTTTTTATATTGTACATTTAGTTTATAAACATTTTATATAACTAATTTAAATCAGAGAACAATACATCTTTTTATAGTTGTACATTTTAAATAAAGTAAAAAGTAAGTTTCCCTTTCAAACCTGACGGTCTATGGGGCAAGTGAAGTAGAGTTCATCTGTTTCTGTGACCTCGGCATATGAAGAGATAGTGTGGTCATCACTATGCCCAGCCGCCTTTACTTTCCCTAACGTGAGTTAGGTACCCATCAGAGTTGGGTGGACTCAGGGACGGTCTACTGACTTGAGCCTGGATTCAAACTCGTGACTTACGGGTTAGCAGTCCAGCTCTCTACCGCTAGACTACTCTGTCCCACACATTTAAATAGCTCATTTAAAAAAAATTAAACTTATTTTAAAATGAAGAAAACGACATAAAATGTTCAATCTGACCTTGGCAGCACCGATATTCTCTTTTCTGAAACTTTCCAAAGGCTTCACAAACTGTGTCTCTGCTGCAGATATCTAGATCAATACAATACAAAAACATGTAACCACTGTCACTGTTTCAGTGATAGTTCACTGAGATAAAAGCAATTACTTTCTTATAGTAGCTAGGCCAATGCAAAAATTTAATTTCAGTAAAACAATATAATAGTTACATATTTGGATAGGGGCTGTCAATCTGATTACAGATCAGTTTGAATTTTCAAAATCTGACCATAAACAAAAAAGTTATGAATTTTTTTGTCATTAAAAAACAGCTGTTTTTTCAGACAACCGGGGTAGACCCTGAAAGAGGAAAAATACTGGGAGGGTATGGACCAAATTTTTAAGAGTTTTTCACTAAAAGTGGTATAAAAGCAAGCAGACTTCACCAATTGATGTCATTTTATGATATTTTATAGATTTTTGTATGCCGAATCCAATGATGCTATTTTAAAAAGTGTCTTTTGATTACATAACAGACTTATATCATTGATTATGTAATACCCCCCATTCTTTTTTTTTTACAACATCTGATAATCCGTGTGATAAGAAGTCATTCTTTAAATTAAACAGTGTTTTAAACCATAATATGACATTTGTATATGCTGAAGCTAATGGTGATATTTAAATTGGTCGACCATTATTACAAAACTATAAAGGTCAGGTTATGTAATTCGCACCTTTTGCTCATAATTTACCATGTATTTATTTTAAAATCTCTTTTGCACATTGTCAGTTAACTTAAGTGAATAGCCTACTTAAAGAAAAGATAACTAATACAGTTTTAATACAAAGAGAAGGATGCTATAACAATAGTATATTTGTGATGATGTAACTTCTTAAAATATGTTATGTAATCTATGTGCAATTGTACAGGCCTACTCTATTCCAAAAATATAGGCATATCTTATTATATTTATATTTCTTGTTACTTTAAATGTCATACCATTGATACAACTTTCTTCTATAGAATTAGCCTAGTTACAAATGTGTCTTATCAGAATCAGTGTGCTTTATGACAATTTTGTAATATTTTTAAACACAAAAAAAATTGCTCATTTTTATAATTTTAATAACATAAACATTGGAAGAGAATATTTTTTTTTTTTAGCTTGTACAAGGTAGTGTAAGTTATAGGTCTATAACATAGATTTATATATGCTCAATGTTTATGCTAGTAGTAAGCTTGTGTATTTTGTAGGCCTACCACATTGGGGAAAAAAGCACGTGTTTGAGTGCTTGACTGTGTGTAGTAGATGCTAGACATTTTTTAAGTTTCCGGAGGCGTTTATCACCATCAGCATTTGCCTAGATTTAGTGAAATCAGACGTGGTTAACCAGGTTTTCTGACCAACGAATTTTATTGCCGTATTACGTAAACACGAGGCTAGATAGGCTAGTCGGCCAACCCGACGAACGTGTCAGACGAATATTATGTAATTTTAGAGACAAAAGTCTGGGAAGATTTCCTGATCTATGCCCGAGGGTTAGTAACATCAACTCCACAAAGTGAAGGGGGAGGGAGGTGGGGTATGAAACCACCGCGAGCCGCTCGGGCACCGTACGGGTGTTATACAACATCAAAGGCGCCGACCCTCGGCATGTCGCGTCACGGAGTAGTGGGGGCGGGGTGAGGCTATGGATGTTACATACGGTGTACGGTGTTACAATAGTTACATACCGTGTAGGATGGTCAGTGACTCCCCATACCCACCCCATCCCATTTTGGTCGATTTGGCAAGCTAGTAACCTCCACGTTGTTAAGGGTTTTAAAATTTTTTAGTCAACCGAAAAAAAAGAGCCCGGGGTAAAATTTAATTCATTTTTTAAAGCCATTTTTACGAAAAAGTAATGTACACAATAATGAAACGTTACGGCACGCGAATCACGTCAGCATTGTTTGGTCGGGTCGCAGCTATCCGGATTAATTTCTAAAGAAGATTAATTTTGACGAATAGTAAATACTATTACGACTTTTTTTTTGCCGTTTCAATGGTTTAAAACAAAGTTATGAAACATGCCTGTCTACTTAAATATAAAATAGCAATACCCGACGAGTCAAATACGGGAACACACGTATCTATCTTTAGAAATTGTTTATAGTCTCATCCAATCGGATCAACCGCCTAGCGTCACGTGACCACACACTCGGCTGTGCTACACGATGTGTAGATCTCGATTCAGTCGGACGGCGGCCAACGCGTTAATTTTTATTTTCGTTCCGTCTTAAAATGTATGGACGGCTTTATTATGAGGTGTTATAATACATGTCATACATTAAAATAATCGGTGGGATTTCAGGAATACAGCTCAAGGTTCAAATGTAAAATAGGTCAAATAATAGACCGGGAAAATTAGTTCAACTTTGCGGTCCGATATCTCCCGAAGTATTTAACTTATTTTGACCACGAACCTTGAGCGTTGTACGTCTACATTTAATCTGTTCGTCTGCCAAATTTGATTGTTGTAGTACGTAAACTCGATACGTCTATAAAAAAATTGTAGCGCGTCATATTTAAAACACAGCGATTCGAAGCACAGCCGAGCGGTTCAGTCGGACAGCGGTCGGCGCGTCATGTTTTGATTTTCGGTCCACTTCAAAGTCTATATGCGTCCTTATTATAGGCCCTAATATGACATATCATACATATTAATAAACGTCGAGATTTCAGGAATACAGCTCAAGGTTCAAATTAAAAAACGGTTCATTAATAGCCCAAATAACTTAGTTCAACTTTGCCGTTCGATATCTCCAAAAGTATTTAACATATTTTCCCCAAGAACCTTGAGCGTTATACGTGAACATTTAATCTATTCTTCTACCAAGTTTCACTGTTGTAGTACGAAAACTCAAAGAGTCTATAGACTCTAAGTAACACCCCTCTTTTAAAAAGGTGAAAAAGCCTCCCCCCTAATCGGCACGTCGCCGCGGGGGGTAAAAAATGCGATTAAATCGGCGATTTCTTCAACGTCTGAAATAATAAAGAAATCAAACTTATACAGTTAAAAAGGTTGTTCAATTACGAACAGAATGATGTATAACATGTTAATATAAACACAATAAAAGCATGCAAAAAACAGAGTTAAACATGCAGGGGGTAGGGAAAAGCCGATTTGTCCGATTTTCTCGGCAGCGGCATTGGCCTAGCTAATAACTTATAGTAAAAACAACTTTTCTTTCAAGTTTGTATGTTGTAAGAATGAGTATGTATAAAACCAGAAGAATAATTCTGTTTACCAAAATGTCTCGATGCTCTTCAATCTTATCAATAAATTTTCCAAACTCAGCCAGAGACTGGGCTAAAAATAAATAAAAGAAAATGTCAGAATGCATGTTTATATAAATTCTTTATGAATTAAATAATAAAAGCTATGAAGTGAGAGTTGCATTATGATAGTTTCCTTGTAGGGTTGGTTGCGTGTGGAATGATTAAGATAATGATACCATTGTACAATAACATCCATAAACGAATACATGTGAATATAATTAAAGAAAAATAAGAATTAAAATGTAATGCTAAATAAAATTAATATATTTTTTTTCTTCTTACAGTACATACAAAATCTTGCAATATTTTGTTTTATACTTTTTAAAATGATTACAAGTCGCCAATAATATATTGGGTAATCAATGTTTCAATGTCACTATCTGATTAGTTCAACTCTAAAAACATTATTTAAAAAGAGGAACTGAATGGTAAAGTAATTTGCTTCATAGGATAAATTTATCTTATCATTGGAGTAGTATGGTAGTTAATCATATTAGCAGTATAGTCATAGCATACTGTTAAACTTTCTAGGGCTTACAGTAAAAGATGTAAACAAAGTGAGATATAAATACTTTAAGTACACTGAACATGTTGTAGAGAAGAAAAAAATGTAGCAAGGTAAAATGACTGGAGGGAAAGATGCAACAACGGATAAGGTAGATTCATCTTCAACTGTCAGACTAGGTGAAACCAACTTGTTCCACTCAAGCGTTTTGTTTACAGAAGCCAGCAGCCAGCTAGCAGGAGATGGACAGATGGATAGGGGGAGATAGAAAGAGATCATACACAGGGTGGGTGGATGCAACTAGCAGAAGGCCATTACGTATTTGGGGTACAGTGGCTTTGTGCCAACAGGCCGGGGAATCAATAAGCCTAGAGTGTTTAATCGCTTATCTCCCTTGGCCCAAGTTTTTTTCTCTCTCTCCCTCTCTACATTTTATAAATACATTTATTTATTCTGACCACTTTCCCTCCCCTGGCAAGTGGGGTGAGCCTACAAGTTCATATAATCTTTATTGATCGCCAGTAGCAGAATGATAGACGAGATTTAACTACCGCCACTCGGTAAACTAGTGCCACTACATTCTACAACAAGGGTCTAGTCCTACACGTGTACGGGCCAAACACAGCGTGGACCGTACACGGCAGCACAACTCTTCCCGTCCCCGTCAATTCTTTCAATTGTGTGGGATTCATGCTACGTCATGCTTTGCTGGTTTTTTTTTATAACAATGTTGCTCTCCACCTGCGTGTAGTCGCATAATTCCCTGTTCTATGGTCGTGTTTAACATATGGTAGTGGCAACAATAGGTGATAATCAGCTGGACATAGCTACATATGTGATGATGTCACCAATAACACGTAGTGATGTCACCAATAACACGTAGTGATGTCACCAATAACACGTAGTGGTGTCACCAATAACACGTAGTGATGTCACAAATAACACGTGTGATGTTAGCAATAACACGTAGTGATATCAGCAATAACACGTAGTGATGTCAACAATAACACGTAGTGATGTCAACAATAACACGTAGTGATGTCAACAATAACACGTAGTTATGTTAGCAATAACACGTGTGATGTCAGCAATAACACGTAGTGATGTCACAAATAACACGTGTGATGTCACAAATAACACGTGTGATGTCAGCAATAACACGTAGTGATGTCACAAATAACACGTGTGATGTCACAAATAACACGTGTGATGTCAGCAATAACACGTAGGGATGTCAGCAACAACACGTGTGATGTCAGCAATAACACGTAGTGATGTCAGCAATAACACGTAGTGATGTCACCAATAACACACGTAGTGATGTCACCAATAGCACACGTAGTGATGTAATCAATAGCACACGTAGTGATGTCACCAATAACACGTAGTATGTCACCAATAACACGTAATGATTCACCAATAACACATGTGATGTCAACAATAACACGTAGTGATGTCGCCAATAATACACACGATAATATCACCATGCATTCTATATCTACAAAAAGGTAGGAGGTAAAGCCAAGTAAACATTTTTGATCGTCTAGTTTCCTATTGAACAGCTGTACACCATTGGCCTTACAGTTGAATAACCTGATGATACAGGGACATCAACAATAATTGATTACAGCTCGTGTATAAATCAGATAATTGTCTCTATCATTTTTTTTAAATCAGCCCCCCCCCCTTTCGGTATCAGAGGGCACCTTACCATTTCCGGCATCAATTACTCTGACTAGTTTACTAAGCAATCCTATCAGTCTCTAAATCCTTGCTATTAAAAATTACGAGAACCAGTAACGATGTACTAGGCTTCATCCGAGCGCTTAATGACAGGGATACGGTAACAGCTTCCACCAGCAGCTGGTAGGACCATCCGTTGCTGTAACGTATCTCGATTATACTCAAGCATGTACGCTATGTTTAAACAGCCCGTGTTTGATTGGTTGTAACCACCATCAATGGAGACATGCTGGCTCCATGTCCTAGATATGTGCAGCTACATTTAGATGAGGCTATCAATGTAAACAATAGACCCAATACATTGTCGAGCGGGGATTTTAGTCAAGCGAGAGAAAGAGTTGACCATTCACCATGTAGAGACAATGGTATATGGCCTATCTCACTTCACATTAGGGAGTATAGTATTGGGCCTACCATATTTCAAATTAGAGACTATAGTAGAGGGGCCAATACATTTCAAATTAGAGACAATTATATAGGACAATAGTGAAACAAAATTACATGAATGTGCCTTTATGGTCCACCACAAGTTTTAAGGTAATACTGAAAAGAAGCATATCCTGATGTTTCGTTATAACTAAGTTCACGCTGATATAACAAACTGGGTTGTGTAAAAACAAACAAAAAGACAACAGGGCCTCGAATCTATCTTACATTCTGATGAGGACTGTGGTAACTAAGTGTAGCATAACGAGTCAAGTACAGGATATTGAGCCCGTTACATGGCCAGATAAGCAGCACATGCCACTGACAAGCTGGGTAAGTAAATACAACAGCAGTTATGTCCCCTAGTGATTACCACAACGTTTAAAAGTCCCCTATAAATCAAGTCCATGCACACAAAAAATAACCACGCGTTTTAAATCTATTCCACACCACACAACTGTGCCATGAATTGTATCAGCACCCCCTAAATGGTGTCACCCAGTGCGGACCGACCCCCCCCCTCTACCACCCACTGTGACATCAGTAGGCCTACTATCTGTAGTATTACATTAACAAGGGTATAAAACAGATAGACTACCCCAAACAACACATTCAACCTGTGGCCTATCCTCGACCAACTCATGCAACCGTTTCATAATGGACCAAAATAGCTTGGATTTCCCGTGTCTCCTTTGTTGCACCGGGAAATCTCTCTGTCAAACTACACGCAGCGTGTTCATTAAGGGACACGTTGACACTACGGCACGTGACTCAAATCCTAGCAGGAACTTCAACTTAAGATATTTTGGAAAAGCAGATAGCAAGATAACTTGTTTATGAGAAGAATACGGTTTCTGTTAAACGATTTTTTTTTGTCCGTGAAAAAATAAATGACAGCATTGGGTAACGAACTGTAACTAATCGCTACGGGGATAGGTGTAAAAGTTAATAGCCCCACTTCTAATCTCAACCACAGACAAACCACCACCATAATTAAGTGTGTGAGACTTCGTTCGTTCCGTCAGTATGTGTACACATCTAGTAACACCGTACACCAACACCCAAACGTCAGTACACATCTAGTAACAGCACACAACACCCAAACGTCAGTACACATCTAATAACAGCGCACACCAACACCCAAACGTCAGTACACATCTAGTAACAGCACACAACACCCAAACGTCAGTACACATCTAGTAACAGCACACAACACCCAAACGTCAGTACACATCTAATAACAGCGCACACCAACACCCAAACGTCAGTACACATCTAATAACAGCGTACACCAACACCCAAACGTCAGTACACATCTAATAACAGCGCACATCAACACCCAAACGTCAGTACACATCTAGTAACAGCGCACACCAACACCCAAACGTCAGTACACATCTAGTAACAGCGCACATCAACACCCAAACGTCAGTACCTATAGGTCGATGAACTTCACACGATACCCAATCTATTTATGACCTACAACAGACTGGGTATATATCTTGACTGGATCTACCTACACTGATACTCAAGCAAGATGAGCTACCTACAGACAGGGGGGTGAACTTCCTATGATACCCAATCTACTTATTACCTACACACATTTTTTAAAGGGATAAAAAGGTAGATAAACGTCGATGGTGCTAGAGTAGACACAAATTGTTGGCGCTAGTGTGTCGTCCCTTTAGAGTAAATTTTTTATCAGGATACACCAAGGTGCCATGTCTTACTGAGATAAGAAGCTCATCAATGCTGGCTCACATCGGTGCTTAAAATAGAGCCGCGTATGGTCGATCTGGGCAACCAACAGGCGTGCTTATAGATTCATCGAACACAGAGTCAGAGGAGCTGTTTCATACAGTTTTGTTTCCATTTATTTAGAGCCCGTTAAAAAAAGGCTTAAATCAGGGATTACATCAGAGTAGTCAAAGTTAACACATTTTTTTTCCGGATTTCCAAGTGTATGTTTTGAACTATCCTTTCCAACCTGACATAGTTCAGATGAAGTAGAGTTGATCTGTTTCTTGTAACTTAAAAAATGAATGGAACCTAGTCAGCACCATGTCTAGCTGCCTTAACTTGTCCCGACTCGACATAGGTACAAACCAGAGCTGAATTGACTCGGATGAATTAGTAATGTGCGCTCTATCACCCCTCTCTCGTTATAAAAACTATTTTGTTGTGGAAACTACAGACATGCTATGTGAACACTGTGTTGTTGAGTTGGTGGTGTAAAAAGCTGCCATATACCGATCCAAGTCCAGCGGTGTTTGCCTGCCACTGATCGAACACTACTACATTACTGGGGTGACGCATCGCGTTTTACACTTCATTGCTGCCGTCAGTAGCAAGCAGTTCAATCTACATGTTAACGAGCTGACCCGTGGCCTGATATGGCTACAGGACATTACCCCCCTGGATATTCCCCCCCCGGACATTTCCCCCCCCCCCGTATTTACCCCCCGGAGCAATTACCCCCCCGGGGAATTACCCCCCCCCCCCTCTCAAGTTAAAATCCTAACTCTAACTAGAATTTTATACCTATATACTCCTTAAGAAAAAGACCAAAACCTAAGCACCCACCTTAGCCTAAAACTTCACACAAAACCAAAACCAAAGCTAGACACAACCCTAACCCTAAAACTAGCTCTAACCCTTACCCTAGCCCTAAAACCTTACCCTAGCCCTAGCACCTAACCCTAACCCTAGCCCTAACCCTAACCCTAGCCCTAAAACCTAACCCTAACCCTAACCCTAGCCCTAACCCTAACCCTAGCCCTAAAATCTAACCCTAAAACCTAACCCTAAAACCTAACCCTAAAACCTAACCCTAGCCCTAACCCTAACCGTAACCCTAGCACTAACTCTAACCCTGTCCGGGGGGGGGGGGGGGGTAATGTCCTACTGGGCGGGGGGGGGGGGGGGGGGGGTAATTGACAGGGGGGTAATTGACAGGGGGGTAATTACTCTGGGGGGTAATGTCGGGGGGGGGGGGGGAATATCCGGGGGGTAATTGACAGGGGGGAAATGCCCTGTTCCCGCCTGATATATGGGCCTACACACACACACACACATATATATATATATATATATATATATATATATATATATATATATATATATATATATATATATATATATATATATATCACTCAATTTAATTGTTTCTCTATTGCTGTATTTTCACTTTAACCAAGTGAACCGCCTTTCTTTAAGAAGAAACTGTTATTGGCAAGCAATCAAGAGATTATTGACAGAGTAAAAAGATAAACTAATTACGTGTTTAAAAACGTAGGTAACCGGAAACAGGTGAAAAATAGAACACAAACCCCGCTGACTACACGTGCCTCATGCAACGGCTCAGGACTAGCTCGCGGCTATATGTATGACTTGTTTATATTACGTTTATAAAATAATTAGTGAAAAAGAAGGTATAAGACGCATACACCAATGTGGGCTGTACTGAGCTCTAAACCCTCAAACGGCGAATTACTCAAGAAGAGGTTTTGCACAGATAAATGTAACGCGTTAAAATGTAAAGCATCAATTATTAAGCAAACTATTTTTGATTTATTTTCAAGTGGCGGATGTGGCTAGATGTCACGATCCACTCATGTTATATTCCCATTACAATCTGTAAAAACCACGCGAGGCACAGTAATATACGTCTTTACTATTTACTTAAAGGCTGAGTGAAAATTAAAGCTGTTTAGAAATTAGACTAGTCGAGTACCATATATTTAATTACATACAAACATCTCGACGTATAAGGCCCCCCCCTCTCATTAAATGTTAACAGACAAGTACAGAGCAGCTAACCCTTTAGAAACGGTGCAAGTGAATGGCGAATCCACCTTCAGAATACCTCACCCCACTTTCACCATTTCTCAAACACATTCGGTGCAAACGCACAAACCTATATTTGTTTCACTTTTTTCCCCCGCTCTTACGCCAGCATTACCGCCAGAAACTCATTACATAATGACGCTCGCTGTCTTTGCGAGAGAATGATGTAAACGTTTCTCTTCCGATATTCGATGGCTTTCGGAGATAGCTCTGTTATCAAAGAAAAAACTGCATGCACTATGTTCATTGTCTGGACGGAAACAATGGAATAAAATACCTGACAATGCATTAGATATGCCCTTTTTTAAAAATTCTCCTGGGCTAGTTATTCTATAAGCCGAGCTAAGATGTTCACAAAAGATGTGCTATAGAAAGAATGGTATGGGTGTGCTGTGTAAAGACGCTGAGACTCACGTGTGTACGGTGTGTGCGCATGTACGGACCATATGAAATGGTAAAAAATAAAGCACGCAACAGTTAAACAAGAACACGGGAGATGCAGACACAGACTAATCTTTAGCAGTGTTTTAAACTGCTTTAAACAGCATCAGATATTCAACAGGTAATCAAAGGCATTCCTAGCTAACATTAAAAAAAATTAACTGTCAGGTCTAACCAAGTATCTTGCCTCGACTGACTCGCAGACTTGACTGCACCAGAAACATGTTCCTGGTATTAAATACCTCAAGGGCGTGTGGACTAAATGCAAGCCGCGGGGTGCCATTTGATTAAAATCGTATCTGATCACATCTCTAATGGGCGCAGTATATTAAATAAATATTTCATTAACCAAAGCTTTATCCACCAGATGGCTCGATTGTGACACACAGATACAAAGCTGTTGATCTGATATGTTAAAGCAGCAATTAACACGGGACATACATGTTATGCAGGTATAAATCATTTACAAGGCTCCGTATGGAGTGGTGGTGGGGGGGGGGGGGGGATGACGACTCAGACGTGACAGATTGCAGGGTAACTAGTGTAGAATAGCCGATTAATTGCTGAGCTGCTGTCATGTTTTTAGTACGTGACATTTTCAGGCATTTGGTTTGCAAAGTGTCCAGAAGAAACCACTGTGAGAACCGCCAGCAATTAATGGATATCCGGAAGTGGATCAATACACACTCACCCAGTGTATATAGGCCAGCAACCCATGGGTAAAAACTTGCCAGGGGATTTGTGTAACATTATCTACAGTAACCTTCCCCCCCCCCCCCCCCCCAAATATGGTATGTGTAGTATTATCTACAATTACCATCACACCCCCCACACCAAATATGGTATGTGTAACATTATCCAGTTACCATCACATCCCCCACACACAAATAAGGCGTGTGTCACATTATCTAGTTACCATCACAACCAACACACCAAATAAGCTCTATGTAACACTATCTAAAGTTACCTTACCCCCCCCCCACCAAATAAGGTATGTGTAACACCTTCCCCCCCCCTCATATACACCAAAAAAATCTATCATTTCAAGTTAGCTGGGGTAAGAGGTTGTGTAGCATTTTCTATCATTAACACCTAACCCAACCCAATCAAAAAAATCTATCAGTCTATGTTAACAGATGAGAAAAAGGTTGAGTAAAATTATTTACATTTATCATCACCCAGCTTTAATAAGCCACCAGTAGATGTGCTGTGAGAAAAAACCCACCTGTCATTAGATTTAACAAGAACAAACTATTGCGGGACCTATTATTCAACAATCTAGTTATTAACTCTCCCACACAAAATCAATGCATCACCTACTTCTCTGGTACAGGTGGTACAAACACTAATAATAAAACAACAGATCAATGCTAGCCCATATTGACAATGATTGCTTCACCTACAGCAGTTAATGAGATCTAGACAATTTCTCACAAGGCAGGAACAGCATAGCAATCAAAACCTTGCTGCTAATCTTAAAATCAATACAAAACAGTCAAATGGTTTACTTAAAGAGCATTCAAAAACATATAAAGTAAAATAAAGTGTAACAAATGCAATATCCATAAACTCCAGCTGAATGCACCCAGTCATTCATTGCCAGAGGCAACCAGTGAACCATGACATGCCCTCAAATCCCCTAGCTTTTATTTGTTTTTGTCCAGCTAGTATTGGCTTGATTTCACTTCACACATAATTATTTATAGCTTGGGTTAAACCTTCTTTCAACCTACCATGCAAACAACACAAGAAACCAATACTACTTAATATTTCATTCAACACATTCCTAGGTACTGGTTAACTGTTAAACCCGACATAAGGGAAGGAAAAAAGTTTCACTAAATGCTACACTAACTATACAATCCTTCAGTGATTTTAAAAAGTAACCTATCAGGTATATACTGTTCAAGCTTCAACATTTTTCAGTTCAACCTATTCAATTATGACAACCACTTCATTCTCGTCAATTTCACTATTTCAGCTTTCACTTCCTCACTAAAGCTTTAATTTAAAATTTATTTTTTTAGCATATTATTGTTATAGTTTTCAACATCAAAGAAGAAATTTATCTAAAAGAATACAAGTTCAACTCGCTAATGTAACTAGTGCTTCTAAGCTATTGATTAGTTTCCTGGTTTACTTAATAAGTTACAAGTAATATGATGAACTTTCAGCTGTAGTGTTGTGTTATGAAAATTGGTTTTCTAAAAATACTTTTGTTATGTACTTGAAAACATGTCACAATAGACAAAAACATTTCTGACCATTATTTTTATCTAATTATAATTATCAATAAACCTAAAGAACAATGTGTAAGTAAGCACTCACAATGCAATCTGGAAAACCTAATTAAATTAGACACATCTAAACTTGATCTCAGTTTATGTGAATTTTTTTTGTTCTGACTCTAAAAATGTCATAAAGTTTAAATAAGTTTAAAAACTCTTATTTAATAACACTCAGTCAATGAGTCATATACTTACAAATAAATATTTCATCATCTGTAAGTTGGTTGCCAATACATTCAAATTTGAACTCCATTAAATCCTTAGCCAAAGCTCTCTGAGCTTTGGAGAACTCTGAAAAAAAATTAGTAAAAGTTAAAATATAAAACAAATTCTTTTCGAACATTAGAAGCACTGGAACTTCTGTCTTCTATTATTACAATGTTGGTTTTTGGAGAAATTTTTTTTTCTTTATATTCAAAATACAAATCATTTAAGTAGATACGTGTTTTGTGAATGTAACTACTATTTATTTATAAACATGCCATTAAATAAAAGTTATTCAAGAACATCAAATTCCTTTAGAATGTGTCATGGAAAACAAAATGTTTTCAAGCAAGGAGATCTGATTGTACAAATTGTACATACATTTTAAGTGATTTATTTTGGGTGAAAGGAAATGTTTAAAAAATAACTTATGTCACATGTCCATGGGCAGCATAATTACAATACAAGACACAATCAGGATTTAGACCATGATTTCTATTATCGTTGATCATATTTTTACAAACAATAGGTACTGATTATATACATACAAAGTGACCAAATTATCTAATGAGCAATTACGTACAAATAAACATTACCATTTAAATGCAGATACTATGCAAGATAAATGTAGTTTTGTATTTGTTATAATGTATAGGCCTAATTCTGGTCAATTAATATACAACTTTAAAGGCCTATTCTTTCATGAAATATATGTAGATTATTAAATATCAAAGAATCTATTGTTAAGCTTTACATTTCAATGTCATTCAATAATTGCTTAGTCCATAAAAAATATTATGTAACTAAGTTACTATACGTAAAAACTATGGACATTAATAGCATCAATAGTATTGCTAGTACCAGATAGTTAAGTACTCTTCTGTCAAACTCAACCATAATATATTATTATAGGCAACTTGTAACTAATTGTTCTTAGTCAAACATACCTAAAATTTACCTAAACCTAACTTTTAAATGTTGAAGCATTTTTGCAGGGCTAGATTTAGGACAATTAACAAGACAGTTCAGATAGTTTTTTAAATGAAGGCCTAAAAATAAATTACTTTATAGTATTTATACTTCTATAAGCTATTAAAATTTAAGTCCTAATAGATTTTTTGTTGTTATTTATTCAACGGTCAGTGGAGTAATACAAGTGAAGAAATATATTAAAAATTATCTTTCATACACTTAGGCCTACATATAACATTAGCCTAAGTTAGTATTAGACCTAATAAACTTAGAATTTTAGGCAGTATTGTTTCTATGTTTAGGCCTATATTTTAAATTTTACAAACAGGACTTGTTATGTTACCAGTTATTTGTTAGTAATAGATAGGCCTAGGCTATTTTATTTAGGCCTATATTTGGAGCCTATTGCCTATTTAAGTTAGACTCGATTAGGGCCTACATTTACAATTTTAGTAATTAGGGCATACACATTAGTAGCAGTGCAATTCAAGCTAGAATGTCGAGCTTTCTATCACAAAAGGCACGAAAAACCAGACCCCTTTCCTAAAATGATGTCACATCTCAGCCTACATACTACTAGTACGACACCCCCCCCCCCCCCACCACAAAATTGCATTTTTTTTTTACAAAATTAGTTTTCAAAAATGTGAAATAACAGCTGAATTCACTTTTAAGAATATTAACAATGCAAAAGTGTGACGGCACGCTATCTAAAAACCCTTTGTCTTAGCTTCTCGTCACAAAATTACAAATTAGCCTTCCTCCTTGCCTTGAAGTGTAAGAATTACGGGTGACCCGTAGGTGATGATTGAGTGCTGATGAGCGAGCAGAGATATAAATTTAGATTCTGTCTAGATTCTAGATCTAGATCTTCTAGAAAATCTAGATTAGATACAGATATTGAGATCTAGATTTAGAAGAGGGCCTAGCCTAGACCAGGCCAGTTTTTTTTTGTCGTTTTTAATTTTTTATTATGCTAGCTCAAGATCTAGAATCTAATTATCAAGTCTGTATTTTTGGGTCTCAAATTATTTTGATTTAACCTACATTCCAAAAATATTAGATATTGCAAATGTAAAGGAACTTACGTTTTGCTGCATTGTAGACGTCTCGACCATGGTGAATTAATGTTTTTATAAATTTGCTTGTACGTTCGAGTTCTTTTTCATGCTCAGCTAATTTCGTGCGGAAATACGGACTGTCTGTAAGACAGTCAGCGAACTCCAGGGGTTGTAGTCCCATTTTGTAAAGGTTAAAGATTTTAATTTTTTTTACGAGTTAAATGCATCATAAAATAATCCTAAAAAATTAATATAAATACTACGATAATCGTTTCCTGACTTCTGACAACAATAATGTTGTCGCTTTAGCGCATGCGCAAGCGGAAATGGTCGAACTCATTTCTGAAAAAGTAATAAAAAGCTTCTGCGCCGCTTTTCCCTGTTCTATTTTCAGTGTAAAACTTAGGCCTACCGTACTTACTCTAATAAAATAGTCGCAGCTAATTCCTATTGATCGATTGACGACAATAAGAAATGCTATGTATAATGTGGAAATTTAGGAAACATTAAATTATATGACACAACATATTACAAATATAAAATTGATTAGTGCATACAATATTTGCTAATTTAATTTTTAAAAAGTTGGACCACACTTCAGTGGTGGATGCAGGGGCGGAACTACAGTGCCGCCAGACCCTGCATTGCGGGGGGGGGGGGGGGGGGGGCGGGACCTTTAGGGGCCCGCAGCCGACCATAATCAATATTTTTACAGTAAAAAAAAATAGTCTTTTTGCATTTTTGACTTGATGGATGTTTTGTAAAAAGAATACTGCAGCTGTGGTTGGATTATCTTTATTCTATAGACACCTTGAGTCCTCTTTCTCCTACAATCAAACATGCTCTTGTCAGCAAAATTCTTTTGAAAATAAATCCATCGCGTGAAAGATACGCAAACGTTCAAACCACTTCCATGACTTATTTCCCCTTTTTTAAATAGTCAAATATGTGTGCTCTTAAGCACCGTTTAATATATTTGCATTAAGCAAATTAAAAAAACAATTATTTCTCTAAAATATTATTTAAAAAAAAATACATAATAAAGAATGACAAGCATAAAACAGAATTGTATTTAAAACTAATAATATAAATACAAAAAAAAAACATAAAAATAAACATAGGGCGAGAAACCATTACACATTCACAGCTTTCATGCTTCATATTATTTCAACTAACTTTTTATGAGAGGCATTTTAGCAAACATATTAAAACGGAGATTTTCAAATCAGACTAGTTCTAATAGCAGTCACACAAATGAAGAGGTGTAACTTGTTTTTACTTCTTAATAAAAACTAAGCATTTTTAATTATATATTTAAAAACTCGAACAAGCCCGAAATGAGTATTCTATGTATCATATTTTCGTATATATATATATATATATATATATATATATATATATATACATATATATATATATATACATATATATATATATATATATATATATATATATATATATATATATATATATATATATATATATATATATATGGGGCCCAAAAAATTTCTTGGCGGGGTGGCCCTTTTTTCCTAGTTCCGCCACTAGGTGGAGGAAGGTCAACTTTTGTAATAATTCATAATTTTAGCAGTTATTTTTCAAATTAGTTAATTATAAAGTATATAGTTAATCTTGACCAAGATTTGCTAAAAATTTCCAATGTTTAGTAAGCTAGTGGTTATTTTGTTGTCATCAATCTTCACCTACTTAACTGCAGCTTGTTAATCTCTTGGCTATATACTAGATCTATATCCGATATCCCTATGTTAGAGATAATAAAAAATTTCTAGTGTAAAAAATTAATTGCAAGAAGAACTGAAATGTGTCTTTATTATATGGGATCTGGGATGAATAGGGCTGTGTAAAAAAGCATGATAGCATTTATGGATGACCTCTGTAGGTCATCCTGCAGTTGTAATCCGAAAGTAAAAACGGCAAAGAGAACCACTTTCATCCATCTATAAGAAAATGTGGACCACACAGCTGTTCTTGACAACACATTATCTGTTGAATGGAGCATTGACCTAGGCAAATAGCATGAGCATATTGCTATCAAAATAATTTCCTAGAAAGATGTCCTACTCTAGATCTCCTAAACTTGTCTATCAGAGGAGCAAAGATGAGGGATGTCAGGGAATACTCCACTGATAACATTGATCTAAAACGCCAATGATAGCAGAATACAAGCTTCAGAGTTTCTGATGACAACACAAACTTGAGGCTGACACAGGATGGTGATGTGTGGTTGATGGACCATAACATGCAACAGGTGAAATAAAAGATGAACCACCCATGATTTAAAATGGAGTGATTACCCTTTATTAAAACCAAGAGTGACTATCCTTTAACTAAAACTAAGAGCTGATGACCCTTGTAAGGTTACAACCATTCTGTTAAAATTAATAGGATGGGGTGGAGTCTCATTTATGCCAGTATATTAAAAGTGTCCCATACTAGTCGTACAAACTTTTAAAAAGAAAATGTACACAGCAATCATTGTTTATTGAAAAATATGAAAATGAAACAAACTCTTTTATATTCATTAGCCTTTAATTTCTGTCAGCATGAATATTTTCAGGATGTATATTTTACATTCTATATTCTCTAGATATGTGATTTCTATAATTAAAATTGAAGATTACTTTTTGTTTAAATGATATGGGATAAATTAAAATAGAGAAATAAAAATATTATTAATTTAAAAACATGTAGTACTAACAAATATCAAATTATAAATAAAAATATAACTGTAAACGTAACAATTTAATATCATGTGTGATGTTTTATTTCACATTAAAAACCCAACTATTTACTGAACAACTTGGACATCATCATTAGACTACTGGATGGAACAAAACTAGCTAAAAAGATTTGAAAATATTGTTTTAGGAAAAAGAAATTAATATTGAAAAATGCTTTCATGGGCTTGTCAGTGTTTTTACAGACTATATTTTCACATCTTTGATTTTTTCAGCTAATTCTTTTGGCTCTTCTCCTTCATCCTTTTCTTTAACTTCATCATCATTCTCATCACTTTCCTCCTCTTCTTCATCATCATCGTCGTCATCATCCTCTTCCTCATCATCGTCATCGTCTTCATCATCATCCTCTTCATCATCATCATCATCTGTAACTAAACAAATTTAAATGCCTTTAATTTAAAAAATGCTCAACAAAATGCTTATCTTATAATTGATGTAAGGTCAGACTTAGTGGAAACATAAAGATAAGCTCAATATGGACATCTACAAATAAATAAAGAGCCTTAATGCAGCAAAACTTTGCTAGCACTAATTTCACATACCTCTGACAACCTTAATAGCAAACAACTTTGCTAGCACTAATGTAATATACCTTTGACAGCATTAATGCCCCACAACTTTGCTAGCCCTGCCACATACCTCTGACAGCCTTAATAGCAAACAACTTTGCTAGCACTAATGCCACATACCTCTGACAGCCTTAATGCCACCAGCTCCCAAAGTGTAACCCCCAAAGGTGAACCCTCCAGTGGCGCCCTGGTAACTGTATTCATCATGCACCTCATCATCATCCTCAGCATCCTGTTGCTGCTGCCTGCCATACTTGTAGCTCCGGGCTGAAAAACACAAGAAAGACTGAGATTAAAGCACCCAGTGCATACAAATTTATTACCACAAATACCACCTGATGAACTATCTAGGTTTTTATTGGCCACTCTGGGACTGAGTACTTAACTCAAGGTGACAAAAATTTTAGGTTAAACAGAAAAGCAACCATATTAATAAAGGCCTATTGAATTATTTACTTTAAAAATTTTTTTTGATTAAATGTAGTTAAAATATCCAAGCTGGCATAAGAAAAAGACCAAAAAACTACAGTGAGCTATAGACCTACTTGACATGCTCAACTCCTTGACTTCCTGTGTGTCACTGCCACACTTGGGGCATGGAATAGCTTGACCTTTGACATATTTAAACCCTTTACGCCTCACATGGTCTTCACAGTAGCATTGCTACAAAAGTAAAAATGAGTAGAGTAAATCATTGTTTTGGTTAAACCTTTTAAAATAGGAAACTTATAAAAAAAATAACCCATTAGCATTTCAACATAAACTTCATATCAACTTACACTTAATTTCATAAAACAATCACCAGCTACACAACAATGGATAAAACTACCTATCTAATAGCACATAAATAGGAAAATTATGTACCTTACAGCATTTACATTTGTAAAACTAGTCACAATAATACAAAACATAGACAAATTCCAGGTATGTAAAACATGTATTGTAATAGCTGTTATGAATGACACAGCAAAGAACAGAAATACCACTAATTCTAAGTTCCAGCAACGTTAAGCTCAGTGCTGTAAATCTGATTACCTTGCATCGCAGACATGAATACTGTCCAAGTTTATTGCAAGAAAGACCTAAATAAAAGGAAAAAATAACCAGCGTCAACAGTGTAAAGTTAAGTTGCATGAAAAACTATTGATTCTCAGTATGTCAAAAAAAAAAAAAAGGTCTGGGCAATTAAAAAGTACAAAAAACAACAACAGTTGATGCAGAATTTACGTTTACATAACTTACATTTGTAGTTCTCAGATTCCAAGACTTGACAACTTGCCTGGTGCTCAAACTGGTCGTCTTCACACAAGTATTTAGAACAGTAACTGCAAGTGAAAATTCTTCCACCTAAAAAGAAGTTGGTGTGTAGGAATTAGACTAGCCTCAACCACATCTGTGTCTGGCAAGTGCCCAGCTGCCTTTATTTGGCTAGATTTCTCATGTACCCAGTGAGGCTGGTTAAGTGCTCTGAAAAATTCAGTCTTGGACTGAACTAAGAAATCAGGTGCTCTGGTGTTTGATCACACTACTCAATAGTTAAGTAAATTTAATTATTTAAAATTAAAATATCTACCATGATCCCAAACTCCTCTTTTGCATTCGTGACAAACGGCATCAATCATGGGACATGTACAAGCATGGGACTGCAGACAGCGTCGGCTGTGACACACCCAAGCCTCGCAAAAATCACAAATGGCACCCTGTAATAAAAATTGTGTGGTCAGAATCTTGATTAAAACATCGCTGTTTACATTATTTTAAAATTATTACCCATTGAAATTGGTGAATTTCATTATATCAATAACTGTAATCATATGATACATCACCTAAAAAATAATTTAGCATAGCTGCTAAGATACTGAGCAGCTTAGCTTTATAAAAATTTAACTGACCACCAATCCAAGTCCTGTAACATACTGGCCTGCATGTCTCACCACACAGTCACCTCCCTTGGACATACACTTTATTTTTCCTGAATAATTTTTAATAACAATAAAAATAATTATATTTGCTAAAATATTCACATCTATTTTGTTAGTAAATATGTTAAAACTTGTGTACATTTTACATTTCTACACTAGAAAAAGTTAATTTCTAAAATCTTACCACACTGGGCACATGCTGGCATACGCTGTATCATGCTACAGAAGTAACAAAAAGCTCTGTTTTTCTGTGTCCTGAAATAGAACATTTTCACCAACATTTAGTATAATTCACACTTTCAAGATTTTTACAGCTTTTTGTTTTTTTTAGAAAACAATGTAAAAAATACCTGAGAAAAAACTATCATATTCTAAATATTTAAAAGAAAAGTTTACCAACCATCAGAATGAGTTTGGAGGGACGGAGTGGTCTAGCGGTAGAGAGCTGGACTGCTAACCTGTAAGTCTTGAGTTCGAATCCGGGTTCAAGTCAGTAGACCGTCCCTGAGTCCACCCAACTCTGATGGGTATCTAACTTACGTTAGGGAAAGTAAAGGCGGCTGGGCATAGTGCTGACCACGCTATCTCTTCATATGCCGAGGTCACAGAAACAAGTGAACTCTATTTCCCTTGCCCCATAGACCATCAGGTTTGAAAGGGAAACTTTAGAATGAGTTTAAAAAACTGATTTAGAAAAAGAGCTTACCTTTTGCAAGAATCACATTCCTGTAGAGAAAATAAGAAAAATTATATTTTGACTGCTTTCTAGTTCTAGACTAGATCTACTAGATTCTAGTAGATCTAGTAGGCCTAAATACTTACTAAATAGAATCTAGATCTAGATCTAGCAATATTTCTGTGCAGTGCCCACACTTCTATTTTTTGCTCATACTGGACTATAATGACTAATTGACTATTAAATTATGGAAACCATTATTAAATAGTAGATCTAGTATTACTAATAATTAATGGTTTCCACCATAGTATAGTATAGTCATACGTCTACGACCCCATACACTATAAAAAATAAGGCCGATTCTAGTCGGAATAAGATACGCATGCGATACGCATGTGATACGCATGCGCAATGGAGAGAAACTACGACTTGCCTTAGCGGCGATGTTTTCGATGGTACTGCGCATGCGTGTGTTTACAACCGCAGAACCCTAACACCAACCCTAATCCTATCCTTAACCCTATCCCTAATCCTATCCCTAACCCTAATCCTATCCCTAACCCTGGCCCTAATCCTATCCCTAATCCTACCCCTAACACTCATTCTAGCCCTAACCTTAGCCATAGGTCACTGCGCATGCGCAGAACTATCTTTTGCCGACTAAGTGGAGATGTTGGGGAGAAAAATCTTCTTCCGAGTAGTCACAGTCAGACACTTCGAAAAAATAAAACACTTTCCAACTAGATCTAACTAGTACACTGTAGGCCTACTATTTTTATAATATTATAGACTTTCATTCTATTATCAGGTTATATCAGTGTTATTATTTAATATTTATTAACATATTTATGATTTAACACTAACTTACCATGAGCTGGTTGCAAGGTCTCTGATCCAGTCCTCGCTCATATTGTGCATTATTTATAGCTTTCTGTCGTTCCTTTTGCTTTTCAGCCTTTTTTCTCTGGCCTGTCTTTTTCTTTGGCATAGTTGTAGTAGACGGTTATACAATTTTTGTTGAATTCATTCGAAAACAATATGTAAACTAATAACTAATGCGAGAGGTCGTGTCGTGTAACTTTATCTATTACAGGGCGCAGCCATTTTAGAAGTGTAAAAATAAAAAAATTAATAGAGTGACTTCCCTTAGACTGTTAGTAAATAGTAAAGACATAGGCCAGGCGAACATTATCTTTATACTAGCTCTCTGCCACGGTGAATCTTTTTTAAATGTACCAACTTGGTAATAGAACAAAACTAAACACAAACAAAAACACAAACACAAATCCAACACAAACACAAAAGAAAACACAGACACAAACACAATGCAAACACAAACGTAAACGTAAAAAAAAACACAAGTGTGAACACAAACGAACGCACAAGCAGGCGGACAAAAAGGCGGACTAAAATTTCCGGGGGGGGGGGGGGGTGTTTACTGTTAAAAGTAAATATTTTCTATATAAATTACATCCCCCCCACCCCCCCCCCCCCCCCCACCCCCCGAAGAGCTGCCTGGAAGAAACACTGCATGCATCTCTCCGGTACTGTTTTAGATGTCGCAAAATCGTGCTCTATGACGTCGATCATAGGTCGGGTGTCAACTCGTGCCGGAACACATGGTGTCAACGTCACCCCCCCCCCCATATGCCCCGCCTCCTCCACCGACGACGATGTATCTAATGTATACACCTTATATATATATATATATATATATATATATATATATATATATATATATATATATATATATATATATATATATATATATATATATATATATTGTTTTGGTATCACCTAGTTGGAGGATGTCTCCCGGTACGTACACACCCGACCCGCCTCGTACGATACTGCTGTAGCCTCAATACTAGTCAGAGAATCGTCAACAGCTACCTTGGCGCCAGCTTGACTAGGCCCCTGGTAAACAATCATCAACTGGTGTTCTAGAAAACGATGATCTACTGTTCATTGCTTCAAATTGTGAGCTGTAGCGGGATGTGTGTGAGGGTGCGTAGAGACGGGGGGGGGGGGGGCGGAACTGTATTGCTCGCTGTGACGTATCAGTCAATTTTATAAAGGATTCAGGTTAGCATGCCAATAACCAAACACAATGTATTAGAGACGGTGAACTTTTTATACACAGATAAAACGCACCCGACTGACCCCCCCCCAAATGTATATTCCGTTATTGGCTGTTATAGTTTGTTATCCATTTTAAGTTTGAATGGATCGAACAATAGGCATCAGTGGGAAACAATACAACAAAACAACTATCTTCAAATAGACACGAAAACTATCATGTGCAACCTACTACTGCTGTATGAGTATGACTGTAAAGCTACACGGTCGAAAGTTAACCCAGTGGCGTCACTTGGACGGGTGTCACCCGGTGTGGTCCGTGCCTCCACCGCCCCCTTGTGATGCTATTGAGTTGCCCCCTAGACCCAGATTTGTAACATCGCATCGATATACCCCATACAAACAGGAAAAAATCAATTAAATTTACATACAAACTAGCACGACCCAACGTTGAGGACGCTCTGTAAATGCTACGATTGATTTATGCAGTATTCACAGCGGCCCTGAGAAAAAAAATCAAATATTTAAGCCATAATATCGTTCCTTGTTTAGTCTTAAACAGAAAGCACCGGAACTAGGATCCGTTGCTTTTTGGCTCTTACGTTAAAAACTTCATACGTAATTGTTTCGTTAAAAATTAATAAGGTGTGATTTCCCGGATAATTTTTTTTTACTGAGAATTTAAAAACTTGTACAGATACCATAATCAATAAACCGGGAGTGATCTCCCCTAAACTTTCTCGAATATTCTTACATAAAATAACAGGGGATGGGAACTCGGGCTATAGACATGATTTTTAATCCATTTTAAATACTTAGAGTTTTTAAAATAGAATAAAATCTCGTGGACAAATTAATTGCACACCAAGTGACCGCCAAATAAAAAAGCGCATAATAGTGCGCAATATTATTAGTACTTTTAAAATTTACATTAGTTTTTTGAGAAATCGGAAGTAGCGTAAATTACTACTTCCGGTCAACGGAAATTACTCAAAATTTAACAGAAGGTAGACAATTAGATGTTTTACTTACATGTGAAATTTCATTTATCTATCTGAAATAGTACTCAAGTTATAGGCTTTTGAAAAATACAAAGTAGAAAAAGTACCACTTCCGGTTATCGGAAATCGCTCAAAAGTTGATACGGATCTACGATTTTGATAAAATACTTATATATGAAATTTCATCAACCTAGCTGTAACGGTACTCAAGTTATCGTGTTTACACACGGACACACACACAGACACACACACAGACATACGGACAGAATTGCAAAGCCCGGTTTTTCAGACTGGATTACGCATAAAACCTCTTAGTTTTGATAAATCTGGATTGATCATTTTTTCCCGATTAAAATAAGTCCTCTAAACTTCGGATGTGATGAAGGACTGAGGTGTAATACGGTGAAAATCGTTAAAATTTTAAGTGATTTTTGTGCACGATTACAATACTTTCTCTATACTTCGTATATACGAGAAAGTAAAAAGTACGTTTGCTAACAAAACGATTTAAAAATACATCGGGCTTAAATGAGTGGGGTGGGAGGAGGGTGTAAATATAATGGCTTCATTTTTGTATCATCTGTAAAGTTATTTCGCACCAAAGTCGTTCGATTTGCGCCAATCGTCGCGCTTGTCGCCATGATAGCTCTATTGTCCCAGGTGGTCACCCATCAGTGAGCAGAGGACAGTGTTTGCTGGTCACAAATTTCACGCTCCGCTGGGCTGACCAATCGTCATGTTCGATAAGCGAGTACATTGTGCTGTCGTACAAAGACTACTCACGTCAAAGGGCGTGAGGAGACATGCAACAGCTTTCAATTTTAGTTGTTGAAAATCTGTAGCTAACTTCAGTATTGGGATTCTTATCCCAAGAGTTCATTGGGATTCTTATCCTAAAAGTTCAGTATTGGGATTCATATCCTAAAAGTTCAGTATTGGGATTCTTAACCTAAGAGTTAAATATTTGGGATTCTTATGCTAAATCTTTAGTATTGGGATTATTGTCATAAAAAGACAGATTTGACCTTTTCCATAAGATTTGACTTAAATACATTGTAAAAGAGTTTTCCAAATTTTATGTCATATAACATACGAAATATATGGCCTACGAAACGTCACATTTCTCTAACCCCTCAACTTTCAATGTGACACATCGTCACAAATGTCTGACACCCACCCCCTCCCTCACTTCTTGATCTGCGAAGTCAGTTATGGACGATCTCTTTCAAAGTCTTCAAACCAAAACTTTTTTTTCGTATTTCATCAAAAAAGAAATGTTCTTGCAACATTTTCATAACTTGAGCACATATAGATTCTAAGATATAAGCAAAAGATATTTCTTAATTGATGTTTTTTTCCCAAACTAAACACCACTTTCAAAGTGGATTTTTCACAGCTTCACAACAAAAACGACAGTTTTCTACAAATGTGTCGCCTACCCCAACTATTGATCTACTTTGATACCAGCCATTGCAGTATTAATTTAAAGAACTGACAGAACAAAAGTTCTCTGCTGATTCCGTGTGGATGTTTCGTGTTGTGGAGGGATGCATGGTGGTAATCGATACGGTCATCGATAGGTCAGGGTAAATGCTTAAGGTCAGTGTATGGGTTCTTCTCTATAATCAAAGTGAAGATCTGAGGTAAAACATATTGCCTCAAGAGAGATCTAACGTAACTATAGCCCTAGATGTATTTAGATGTTACATCTCATGAATTCATATGTAGGCCTATAAGAAGGTAATTGAAATATATTATCTATATCTACGCTTATCTTATGGCCAAATATAATCTGAGCATACATTATCCATATCTAACGCTAATGTTATGGCCAAATATAAGCCTAGCTTAATCTATGGCTTATTACTAGAATCGCCAGAGTTTCTTCCAGGCAACCATTCGGAGGGGGGGGGGGGGGGGGAATCACCGCTCCACATCGAAATGGAATTTATCTAGAAAACTAGTCATCGATATTGCTTCGTTGAGGAGGAGATACGACTTAAAGCTGCGGACACACATCCATCCATCCATTCATACATCCAGAAATGACGGGTTAATAAACGTAATTCTCCAGAATGGAAATTGCGCTAAAAATATATACATTTAACAGTGTCCGCTTCCCCCCCCCCCCCCCCCACGAAGAAGAAAGTCTGGAAGAAACACTGTCGCCAAATCCAAAGGTCCAAAAAAAAACCTTTGACAAAAAAAATCGCGCGCTACACGTTTAAAATCAATTTAGCGTGAACATAATGCCCACACAAGAAGATAAAGCTAAACAAATGAGCTACACGGATTCGCTATCAGCCTACAGCGTAGACTGGCACTGTAGACCGAAAGTCTCGAGTCCTCCATAACGAGGCTGCTCAAGGTACACGAATGTTGTGTTTTCACGCAGCTTGTCCGGTTTCCGAAGGGCTCATCTTCCTCTTGTTTGGGTGTTTACAAAAAAAAATGATCAATACACCAGGATGTGTCTATAGGCCTACATCTTATCCTAGCAAAGCTACTCCATTATTGCCCTTGTTATAACGCACAAAAAACTAACAAAGCTTTTTATTCCAGTCCAAGTTATAAGTAAAAGTAATGTCCCCTTGTTTTGGTATGCATGATAAGCTTTGTTTATGTTTAAGGTGAAGAGACTGAGGGTGTTAAAGGACTGGATCAACCCACACATATCAATTAGCAAGATGGAGGGCGGCTCGTAAAAAAACACCTGTTTTTGAAAATATAACTATTTTAAGAGGGAGTGAAACGCCTACGCCTACACCTACACGCACACACAAACACCTGCACCTGCCCCTGTACCTGCACATTATACATACGAACATGCGCCTACAGATGCGCATATGCATTCGCATTCACCAAATTACTGAAGCATCAAATATGAAAACGTTAAACACATATTAGCTATTAATGTGCAGTATAAAAAGACCTAAAAAAGAGTAGTTCCGAAATTAATGATCTATTCGTTAAAAAAGCTTCAGTCGATCGAATGACAAGAACCCAAATAGAGAAATCAACGCTTGTTA